ATTGCTTCCAACAAATTGGGAAGAAAGTAGACTGGGAATATTCAGCAACAATAAATGAGAGCTCCCTGCAACTGTCAGAATGACAAAAAAACAATCCAAATCAACATTCAATTAGTTACCTTCAAAAAAAGAGAATAGTTTTCTTACCTGAAATACATATTTTAACAAAAGCAGAAGAAAAATTACTTGATCCATAAAGAAATCATATAGTCCCAGTGTCTAATTTGTGTTCCAATCACAACAGTTTCAAAACAACATGAGAAAACTAACATGCATTTATATTGCACATAGGTGTAACTGCAGCCAATGCTGTGCCCTAGATTTGTTTCTACACTCTGGCCCTGCCTCTTCTTCCATGGCCTGATGCAAAGCCTACTGCAATCAGCAAAAGGGTTTCCTTTAACATTAGTAAATTCCAGGTGGGCCTGTTGTTTTATCAGTAAAAAATCCCTGAGTCAAATATGTCTTTTTCTTTTTTCTTTTTTTGCTACTTTTTTTTTTTTTTTTAAAACTACTGATTTCAATACATTTAAACCCATAGAAGCCCTTACACTTTCTTCAAAAGAAACTATTATCGATAGTACCTATTTCTAACAAGTTATCCCTCTGACAGCACGCAAAATAAGCCCCTAAGTCCTAGATCCATTTTCAATGGAAGTACCAAGCAGCCCTGCACAACCCTCTAGCAGTACATTCCTAGGATGTTCAAGAAGAATTAATATAAACATTATACATTCATGACAACTTCTGTTAAATCTGTTCATCAAAAGACAGGTGTACACTAATATTTCCTGGGGAATTGCATGAGCACTTATGAAATTCCCTATGGAAAACCACAAATCCTACTTTTGAGAAACACAGAAGCAGAGCTCACAGATCTGCTACCTCCCACATAACCTACCTGTTTATTAGAGGACGTCTTAAATTTCGGCTCAGGAACGCACAACTGAGAGAAATCCGTGAAACATCAAAAAGACATAGGCAGGAGAGGCAAATCAGCGGGATGTCACTGCTCCCCCCCGCCTCAGCCGGGGACCCTCCGGGTCATTTTACCGCGCCCGTTGCCTCAGGCGGGAGGGGGGCGCATCCCCCGGTGCCCCTGGGGAGGACAAGCAGCCTCGGCTGGCCCTGCCGCCGCGCCGGCTGCCTTCTTCTCCGTCCCATTCCCCCCACCCCTGATGCCGGCCATTCCTGCCCTCGGCAGCCGAGAGGAGCCTGGAGCCGAGAGGTCCCCCGTGGCTCTCCTCACGCCGCTCCCCGCGGCGGGGTGGTGGTTGCCCGCCCGTCCCTGCCCCGCTCCCCGCTCTGCGGCTCTGCTGCCCCGGCCTCCAGCCGGGCGCTCATCCTTTGTCATTCCTGTCATGGTTCCGTTATCCGCTGCCCTGGAATACGGACCCTTCTTAAATTCGCCACCAGCAGGCGTTCTTCAACTCTCCTTCTATGCTACAGCAGTGTTTGGGGGTTTGTAAATAAGCACCTGCGAGGTGTGATGCTTGCTTACACCAGTTCTGGCTTTCATTTGCTTTGAGAAGTTACTTCCCAGTTCAGTATTATAAAGTTTCAGAGTACATCTGTGGAAAGTATTAGTAACAAATACAATCAAAACAACTATTACTAATTCCTGAGTTTTATCTTTTCAGCTGGCTGGGCTCTAACAATTTTAACTTCTAGGTGGTACTTGAAAAGGGTTAAATCAGACAACTTAGAAATAAAGTTGCTGTCAGAACCCACACATTTCTCCTCAATATAACACTGGCTTCCTACATCATCCTGACTGGAAAACACAGATGCAGAGTTCTCCAGAGGAGAGCTAGACACCGAAACCTTGTCACTGTTGTACCTGTTGTACCCTCTGTAAAGATCCTAATTGAGCTCCATGGGGCAGAATTTCTTTTCTCCATACCAAGTTGTTGACCTCTGTACTGAGATCCTGAGTGAAGATATCACAGCAAGCATCTGCAAATGTAAATATACAGCAGAAGGCCCAATAGACAGGAGTACATAACAGCAGGACCACTGCTTTATTTTCAAAAAGCTACTAAGCAAGGACAGCTCAGACAAAAACTGGATGGTGAAAGCTCTTGATCAAATCTGAAGCAGTGAATTCAGAGGCAAACCACTCAGTATAGATCTCAGTGCCCTAACCTTCCCCAGATTAACCTTTTTAATAGAAAACTAGCTCTCTGCTCTGTCCTTTGAAATTAAATTGATTTAATAAGCTGATAAAAATGTTTATAAACTACTTCCAGACAAAGTAGTCATAGAATACACAAAAATTAGTGCCATTGTGAATTTGGACCATAAAAAAATGAGCAATGACCATCATATTTTTACTGTGCACTTTTAGGTGGTATCATGGCACAATATATTCTTTTTCTTGAGATAGTATCTTGTTCTTCAGTGGGCTGCTCTTCGTTTTTCCTAAAACCTGTGTGCAGCTGAACTTTGAATTGTGAAATAAGGAATAAATTTTTTGATTGGAGCTTTATTTAGAACTTCTAGTAAAAAAGGCAGGCTGAATCACACCAAAATAAATAAATAAATAAATAAAAGTATATAATAATAATAATAACAATAACTTTTTATGTAACCCAGGTTCAGAGAAGGTCACAGTAATTCAGAAGTGGCTGCAAAGAAACCCCTTATCTCCAAACATTGAGTCATTCTGAGACACACACACATAGAGAGCATGCATGGGCATAACACTTGAATGCTGCTTCAGCTATGAATGCCACAAGGAAGCTGCTGCACACTCAGCTGTTTTACAAAGCAGACATACTGAGCTATTTTCCAGAGCACTTTTGTAATCACCAAGCAGATGAGGAGGCTTTATTAATGTGGTGATTTTCAGACAACTGTAAGAGTACTCTCTTTTTATAAACTTACTAAATCAAGTGTGTGGCACATTCCACCTTAATCAAATGAACACTCCCCAAAATGTAAACATTTCCTTTTATTCAGCATTTCTAGTGATTAAGTTTTACCATCATTAACTACTGGTTTTACCCAGAACACAGTATCAGTGCAGATCAGATGCTTCCTATGTTCCTCCTGTTTTTCATACAAAAACTACTTGAGAACTTCCATGATTATATGTTCCAGTTCATTTATGTTTTGTCCCACATACATCTGTGGGATTTTACCATAGGACATAAACCTGTGAATGATTACATCGGCAGCATAACCTCAAACTAATTTCTGGAAAAGGATTTGATGGGACAGAACTTGAAAAATTCAGTGTGAGTCGGTGTTTCCCACTGTCAGATTGTAGTTACCAATCAGAGTTTCTCTGATTTATTTGGCACCTTTTTCTCACATTTATTTGGCAGTAATTTTTTACACAAAGGCTAACCTCTAGATCTGTACATTGGTCTTGTCTTTTAAATTCTTATAAAAAGAAAGAAGGGGAGAAAAGAGAGAGAGAGGTGGAAAAAGCTGCACAGAATTGATGCCCAATAAAAAAAATATATCCAGCAGTATAGAAGGTCAAGAGAAAAAAAAATGGATTTGTGTTAGACAGAACTAAGTGCAAAAGGAGGAGATTCTTACTTGTAGCAGCATTTTGTGACTGCTTAAGAATTTGTTTTTCTGGAGTGGTTTCTTGTAAATGTCTCCATCTTTTACTGAATTATTTTGTTTGTAACTCTTTTTAAACAATATATTTCAGGCATGATCCTGCTCTCAAAAGAAACTATCTATAAAGACCTCAGTGCTTTTTCACCACTGGTACACAGATGTATTTAGAAAGATGCCTGCAATGTGGAGAAGTAATAACTCATGTAAATGCATTGTTTTACTTTCATTTTTAGTACACAGTTATCTACATTCTAGGTCTTTTATTTTATTAATGAAATCAATACATGACTTAAACGGAGTATTAGAAGTTGTGCTTTTAATTCTAATTGTTTAGTTGGGCAAAAATTGGTCCTAATGAACGAGCTGATAATAAGACAATGGTATTATAAAAAAACACATTACAAATAATGTGTGAAAAGTCTTACTGTTTAGTAGAAGCGTATTCACTTACAATTTGGTTCTAAGTGTTGAGAATATTTATCTAAATACCTAAAAAAAGATTGCATAGTTTAATGGTAAACACTTTACATGGTGTAATTCCATTTGTAAGCACAAATAGTACAGAACCACAAAAACCTAGGGAAGAAGGAAGGTTTCAAGCAGCTACAGAGGGGAGCAATGACATGGCACACCAGGACAGCAGAGTAAGGCATATGGTAGGTCACGCACAAAGCTTCTCTCAGTTCCTTGTGTCTTCTGGTGGAAGTGTGGGAGTCAAAGAAAGGCATGCATTCCCAGACTTTCTCTTAGGGGAGTAGAAATTGTTCAAGTCTTAGTTTCAGAAGGGGTAGAAGGGAGGGAACTCTGTGGATATTAAAGTTCTTTTAGTCAATAATAAACAAACTAATTAATTTTGGTATTTCACAAGCTTAGATTTGATTTGGATCAGCTGTCAAAACCAGTTCACAAGATACTTGCACAAACCAGGTTATGTGTAATTCCTGGGTGGGGAAGATTGAAGCAGGAATAAAGAGTTGGAGATGGGGAAACCTAAACAACCATGGAACTGTATCTACACTTATATAAGTTACAGACTTAGAAGGTATGTGGAGCAGAACAGTCCTACCACACTGCAGGCTCATGAAAACCTGATATCCATTCTGAAGGCTGCAATGGTTAGTTCATGTACGTATAATATACCACATAATACTAATTTCATCATGGAGATAGTATGGGTGGAAATCTGTCTAGAAAATGATTAATGAGTTTTAATAGACATTCATTCTCTGTCTAGGCCAAATAGAATCTGAGTTCTATTTGAAGTATGAATTTGATGTTTAGCTGTAAAATGAATCTTAGACTCTGTTCAGCTCCACCAAACACATAAATAATTTTTTGTATGGTTCAGGAAGGCCCAGTTACTACCGATTGTAGCACTTTAAAAAAAAAAAAAGGCTAAGTGACACATGATATCATGGATTTAATTTTAAGTTTGCCTGTTTTTAATTCCAGGTTAATCTAAGGTTCTGCATTATCATCAGTGACAAAGGTAAATTAAACACATCAACACTGACTTGTTAACATATATATGATTCTGCAAAATAATGTTTATTAATTTCTCTTTAATTACAAATACAGTTCTAAATCTTACAAAAGCACATTGTTTACAAAAAGCAGAGCTGTTCAATCAAAACACTGTAAGTGTTCAGTCACCATGTGTAATAGTGCTATCTTGCAGGAGCTTTCTGAAGTCATTTTTCAAATGCTAAATTCATTAAGAAGTTTGGGGGCAAAATCTCTTGAAGTAAATGTAGAATTCCTATCTCCATGTTAATAAATCAAGAGATCCTAGAGATATATTTTTCTTTGAATAGTTGTCCTTTTATTTTGCTGTACAAGTACTCAAACTTTATAGCTATGACAATTATTTAATTTCCATTTCTGGCCTGTGTGGAAATTTTCTGTACACAAATTCCAACAATTATGTCAAAGAACGTTTTGTTTCTAGGCCCTTGTATATTTTCTTGAAATATCCACCATGGAGTCATAAAATAGTGCAAATAAAGCATATACTTTCTCAAAAAAAAGTACTTTGTCTTGATCGCTAGGTGATAACTATTTCTTTATAATAGCTAAATATTTTAAATAATACAATGGATTTTTCTTTCATTCTTAAACCAAGTCACTATTTTTAAGGAGATGGCTGTGTAGAGGAGAGTCTTCTTAGTAAAGACAAATTTCAGTGTGTATCCTTCTTAATAAGCAATCAAATTGTACACAGCAAAAGTTTCAAGATTTTTCACAAAAACTATCAAAATAGCTTTAGATTTTTTTGAATTTTATATTGCTTATTTTTCTTTGTATAAAACAATGTAATAATCTAACATTTTGTAATTAAATGATGACAGTCTGCAATAAACACTGTCCACCAAAGAGTTGTCAGAGTTTTAAACAAACATTTTAATTCTGAAATAATTTATGTGTTCAGGATCATACTGACCCCACTGGGTCAGTGGCAAAACTCTCACTGTCATCATTTAAGCCTAGTTTGGTAACTTTATAAAGCAAAATAGTCTTCTAAAAACAAGCTGAAAATAGTATCCTCAGTTTTTAAGATACGATTACATAGTATGCTTAATACAAGTGAGAGAACATATTCAGCTTAAGGTGCTGAATCATGGAGATTTGCAACCTGATTGAACACTCATAGCTCACCTAGGCCCTTCAAAGCATATTTTACATGGATATTTTTTTTCCTGTATAGAAAAATTGTGAAACTTAGATTCAGTCAATAGCCCAAATCTCTGCATATATATATATATATATATATATATATATATAAGTATATGTATTTATTAAAATATACTGAACACAAAATTTCAAACTGTCAAAGGAAGAAACTCATTTTGAATAGTTTAAATGTCTAGTCCCCCCCTTTTTTTTTATAAATATATGCATACATAGAATCTTATTCTACAACTGGTAGACAGCCAACTTCTTATTTGTGAAATCTGAAAAGTGGATATAAAATCTTCACATCAGAAACGGCTTTTAGATGTTTGTAAAAAAAGGCACAAATGCCTGAACTCTTCAGCCTTTGCCTAGTCATGCTTCATGCTTATAATATATACCAAAATTAAGCAAATGTCAAAGGTTTAAGGGCATTCTTCTTCTATACGATCAGGTGATACATGTACTTACAGTCCACAGTCATGGTGTTTCTCAATGACTTTCAGTTTAAGCAGAGTCCAGTCACTGACTACTGCTTAATGGACAAAAGATAGGCCTTTCAGTGAGATAAAAAATGTTTCAGTTGGACTGACATTTTTTTTTTTTTTAAGTAATTCAGTCACTCTCAAAACCACAATATGCATCTTTTCTATTTAAACATTAATTCCAATTATGAAAATTCCTCAAATGAAATTTTCTAACCAAAAGGAAAAGAACCACTCATAAATTCCAAGTTTTGACAGGGAGCCATAATCCCAAATTTTAAAATACTGGAAACATAGACATCAACAACTCATTGGAAAGCCATTTAAAAGTAAACGATGACTAAATTACACCTTGCTAAAAAGGATTTCTCTCTATACATGTACATGCCAATATTTAAAAAGGAAATATCTGAACAACAACATAATGTCTACTAAATTTGAAAAGTTACATTATAAAACATAATTGGTGTCTTTTTTTTTTTCTTTTTTTTTTTTTTCTTCAGAGTAGTATATCCATCCAAGGTGAAAAAATAGTGTGGTGAAATGAAACACATTTCAGTTCTTCAGATGAAATCATATCCATGCAATGCTCAGTTCCATTGGCATGAACATTCTATAGGTTCTTGAATGACATACATAATTTCAGTGCCATTTCCTGCACAGTGTAGTGGCACAGTCAGATTACGTGTTCCGTTTTCTCGACAACATTTACAGAATCTTAAATGGCTATCAATATTGACATTGAAAATTGTTGCAGACGGGCATTTTCCATCACAAGAAGCCACATTTATCTATGAGTAAATAAAGATCTGCAGTTAGACATCTCAGGTTTTGTTTTCCAGATTTCAAACTTCTTTCTGATTAAAATCCATTTTTATACTTGAAAAGAACTCTGGTTTTAAAAGTTATCTTCTAAAATTCATTCATTCCAAACGGAGATACATTTTTTAAATAAAGCATTTTGGTTGTATTCTGTCTTAACATGGAGCAATACTTTGTGCTGTGGATACCAAAATTGTATCCCTAGTTTACAAATGAATAATTTCAAAGCAGCAAAACAAAATTCATGCCTGTTTCATGTTCACTGCTGAAAAGTTACATTCTAAGCAAAACAAAGGATAGTCTATCATTCCTTTTGAAAGTTCAAGAGGAGAAGTGTATCAGTGCTAAAGCTTTTCCTTTCTCACTCATACTGCTCACAACTAAGAGCCCAACAATATTAGATGTGTCATCACTGTAACAAATATATTTGCAAAGCAGATTTAGGATCAAACAGCAAGGAGAGAAACAGGCTATAAAATTATTTTTTCTGTAGACTTCATCCAAGCTAGTCTTTCACTATTATATTATGTGAAGTCTTCTTAGGTAATATTGTAAGAGAAAACAAATTAGTATTTTTTAATTAAAACTTCAAACTACATTGATATAGCAGGAAATTGGAAGAAGGCCATATTATACCTAGTTTTTTTGTTTTGTTTTGTTTTTTCATGGTAGTGTTTCAATCTGATTTCTTATTCAAGTGAAGCCTGTGAAAGGTACAGTGATCCACACCCTCTAAACAGTGTCTGAACAAGTGAGATATATCCAAACAAATTAGATCAAAAGGTTAATCTTAAGACTTTCATGAAATTTGACAGGGAAAAAATCATATATACTATAACAATATATATACATTATATATAAAATACATAATATGTATATATATAATTTAATATATTTGTATATATATATATAAGATCTTGTCCAAATCATTAATAATCTCAGTTACTAATTAATTAAATGTAATCATGCTTAGCCATATCAGAAGTTTGACAGCATTAATCTGCTCAAAGAACACAGATGTAGCTCCAAACCAGCAACAGCCACAGCAGATAATGCCATTTGATAGGCCAAAGTCTTGCAATGAAATAAGGTCCCAGGTGTTTTTGTGGTAGGGGAACTGGAAGGGGATGGATCTGAGCTAGCAGCAATAAATTAAATGGGAAAGAAGATACTGTGGAAAGGGGCTTGTAAGATGGATGGAAGTGAGATAGGGCTTCTTTCTAGACAATGTTTATTAGAAGGTGCATAAAGGTAGAAGGAAAGATAAAGAACCTACATGTATGGTAGCAAGTCAGAAGAAGCAAGGCTTAATTACTTGTGTCATTTATGGAATGACTCAGTGAACATTCTCATTGTCCTTCCCTGAACCCTCTTTAGTTCTACAGCAATGTAGGGAGACCGTAATTGTAGAGGACTCTTTTTTTGCACCATTATTGGACTCTTTTATTGCACCATTGGCTCATAAGAGACACTAGAATGAGTTTGTTGCCATTCCCTGTCCTATTCATTAAATGTTGCAGGAGCAAGGTCCTTTTCAGCCACTTTAAAAACCTATGAGTTTTGACTACATCTTTCTTTTTAATATTATTTGCTTTAGTCAACACCATGTATTTGTTCTGTCATATTGGTGTCCCCTAACCTGGCTTGCTAAAGTAACTGTGAAGATCTCTACAATCTTCTCTGCTCTCAACTATGGCAAACAATTTTAATTTCATCTACATACAGACGTATACTCCCTCATTACCTACGTTTTTTTCTAAAACTAAATAAATACACCACACACGCTTATTCGTCCAGTTAAACCTTAGGTATGTCGCTGTTGTACTTCTGACAGGCTAGAAATTAACCTGCCCATCTTTCAATCTGTGACGCTGTTTCACATCTTCCCTTATGACTAGTTCTTCAGCAGAATCTTATCAGAGCCATTACAGAAGGCTCAAGATATGGTGTCAATTGCTTCTCCTTTAAGTGATACATGAGAAGCCCATTTGCTCCTCAGACATATCCTGGGTTTTATAGATGGGGCTACATCAAAGCTGAGAAATAAGATATATGAAGCAGACTCATAAATAAATGGGATCATGAATTTATGATATAGAGACATGTTGTGTGGAGGAGAGGACACACAGAGTAAAGGTCTTCAAGGAGAAATATAGCAGTGTTTCCATCACATCCTAAGTGGAAGCCTTTCTACTCTTGAAGAGTGGGATGTTATTTCATGGTGAAGAGTTCAGTGCCTTTGCTAGTTATAAGCAATTATGGTGTGTACTTTTCATTTGAAGACAGATGTTTTTCCAGGTAGGAGGACTCAGTCTTTCAGCGATAGGAACAGCTAACTATTCCATTTACGAGTAGAATAACATTCCTGGGGTCAAAGGTCTGCTTTTGAGAAGATAGCAGCATTTTTTGTTGCATGTTGATAGGCATAACACATTTCTAAATACTTGGTTTGGTATGCCATAGGCCCAGCATAAAACGATTTTTTTTATGCTTACCGGGCTTTGACTTATACAGTCATTTTTTCTTATAGTTGTCCTGATTGTCATTTTCTGGCAAATTCTTTCTTCCTTTTTACCTGATAAAATACAAAAATAAGGCATATTGAATCAATATACTTTTTGCATGACATTTTTTTAAATAAAATGTTAATTTATTAAAATAAATTCAATGATTACACATTAGCTTCATTAATGTACACAATGAAACTATTAGTTTTATAATTATTATTTTTTTTAGAAAAAAACTCATATATTAAAAAATAATTTCAGGAATTATTGATTTTTTAGCTGGCACATATGAGGCATCAACCTGTGCATTAATCTATACAGATTTTATAAATACAAAAATATTAATGTGGTTTAAAATTGCCTATATGGCAAGATAAGCATAATACCAGTAACTAAGAGAAAGATAAAGTAATTTTGAATAGTGATAGAATTAATTCTCTTTTTAATGGGAATATGAAAAATATGATTTTTTTTCTTCATTTTAGAAGATATTCAAAACTTGACATTTGAAAAGATAAAGCTGTGAATGTGATTACAACTTTGATGCTACTATGACTGCTTAGAATTTAAATAGAATAATATCCAATATTTTTCTGACAAAGAGGTCCTTGAATGAAGCTTTGAAAGAGAAAGATGCATATATTTCCTAAATACGGTGCAGCTTTTACCGTCCAGAACTGAACCTGGTCAGCATATAGATCTAGGATTATGGAAATACTGCATTTTATCAGTATGGTCTGGGAGATATTGATAGGAGAGCTTTTATTTGAAAAATAAAGCTGTACAGTGCAAAGCCATTTTTTTTTAACATAATAAAAATCGTAATATAATACTGAAATAATTAAACATAAAATCTTCCATGCTGCACTCCATACCAGACAGTTTGCTATTACTATTTGTGTAATAGAAATTATTTAGCTTTCCAGTTCCAGTAAGCATCAAAATCATCTATTTGTTTTTCTACGTGGACATTCTAGGCGTCCAGTTTATAAAATAATAACCACTATTCAGCAGAGTCTCTTCACCTTTAGCACATGCCTGCATGGCCAGGTATACACAAAAAGCATAAGTTTTCTTCTGAGATTTTTTATAAATTAATGAGCTCTGAGTAACCAAGATATTCTGCAACCATAGCTCCAGTGGGTATCTGAAAATTAGTCTGGCTCCGTAATACATCTAGTTTTTATTCTAAGCATTGCAGAATCAAACAGTATTCTCTTGTGGAGCTAGAAGATGACTGTAGGACCAAAACTGCAAATTCCTACAGTATCTTGCTTTTCTTTCATCAGCAACACTAGACAAAAAGTATTCCTATTATTTTTCCATTGGAAAGCATTTGCCATCATGAACTCATACATTTCAGCATATAAGGTGCTTATGTCTAATGAAAACTTCCCTGCTGCTATATTTTCTTTCTTCCACTTTCAACTGTCAAAAAGGTCTTCATTCAGTATTGGGTGCACTTGTTTCACTTGCTCCTTATTTGAGTAAGGAATCTTACTAAAATTTCTATGACTTATCATTAAAAGCAGAGTTATGACGATAATGCGACAGTTCTGTAACCTCCCACAATTACTGCTGTAGAGTGTTTATTAATGCATGATTTTACTTTGAGGATTGTATGTTTTTTTCCCCCAACATTTTCATAACTTTGCAAAACATGCTATTTGTGACAAAGAAGAAGTACTGTACAAATCCATATCTACAAAGATGAGATAGGGCAGTAATGTGCACTTTTGATCTATTTTAAGGCAAAAACAGTTGAATCATTAACTTCAGAGACATAAACATGATATCAGAATCTTTTAGTAGCAGTATAAGGGATGATGATATTTTAAAAAGTAAAATCATTTCTTATTATAACTGTATATGATATAATTATTTCTTATTATGTACTGTACCCTGTAGAGTAGGTCCATGTAATAAAACCAATTTTAGAAACAAACAGGAGGAAGAACCATCTTCAGCATATAACATAAATGAATGAACCTAATTCTGACAGGTGTTGAGCAGTGAACCCTAACCAGGTTTAAAAAAGTCACTGATTTGGGAGGCCAGCAGGGGTTCACCGTCTCTCAGCATCAGGCCAATACCATTAAATACATTTAATGGTGATGACAGCTCTATGCATATATACAAGCAGTGCTTACACTATTATTAAAATAAGAAAATACATTATTAAAAATAATACCTGGTTCACAATTAATACTATCAGTAGGCACTACTGGACTAATGGCAAAGGGTAATAGACCCAATCCAGAACCTGGCAGAACCATTAGGAATGTAAGTTTCTCATGAAATAAAAACATATTTATATAAATGACATTTCATTAATTCTTACACTGCCAATTGCAATTTTTCTTTTAGCAAAAGATGATGAGCTTTCCTGTTAGTATTCGAAATTTAGAAACTGTAGCTGCTTCAAGTCTCACTAAAGATGTCCTAAACTTTATTACTCTCCTGATTAACACAAAACTGGAATGATGCTTCCTTGTAGACCAAAGTTTTGCAATGAGTCTCTCTATGGCAAGGTAAGAATTAAATATATGCACTCACTTTGCATGCACTGAATCAAGCTCTTCCAAAAAGACTATTTGTTCCCATTAAAACCCCAAGGTTTTGCAAGCTCTATTTACACATACTCTTTTTATCTGCTTCACCACTGGGCACATGCTTTTAGTTAAAAACAAAGCAAAAACAAAAATAAAATAGCATATAAGTGTATGGATCATATATATTTTTAGCAGCCACCTGAGTAAGAATTTCTGAAGTATAACAACACCTTTCCTGAGGCCACAGAATATGGCCAAAATTATAAATCTTCCTAGTCAACAGAAAGTCAGTAGCCATTAATTCTTTAAGATATTTTTCTAAATAAAGCCAACCCATTTTTTCTCATTTTAGTTAACAATTTTTCAACATAGCTTATTGCATTGGAGAAAGAATATTGATTCATAAGATTTTAGCAAATTCTGGTGTGTTACTTTTCTCTGCTAATTCTCAATCAAATAAAAAAAAAAGTATTTTGTTATATTAAAATAGCTTCTATTTTCTATCCTATGCATGGTATAGAGCAACAATACTTGCAGATAACTTTCAAAGCTTTACATAATTTGGAAACTGGAGTATTGTGCTATATTTTATAGCATAAAATATTTGTGCTATATTTCCCCTTATATAGACAAATCATTTAGCATACAAACACATGTGTAGCTAATACATTGCTGAATTTTACTTAATACCAGTGCAGTATACTTACAAGCCTGTGACTTTCTATTCAACATTATTAAAGCCTTGTTTAAAAAAATAAATAAATAAAATCCAAAGACTACTTTTTCTGTACATTTCAACTCTGATATTGAACACAAAAAAATCAAAAAAGGGAGGTAGTAATTTCTGTAGCATTCAACACGTTCTTGCTCTATGTAATTAATTTCACAGAACAGTGCTTAATTTTTATGTCTAGATGATTATTGAACTTGATCAGAAAACCTTTCCTAAACAAAACTGCAGAGCAAATCAAAGATTGTTCTCAGCCTGCTTTTAAACTTTAAATAATGAAGACTTCATGTATTCATAAACTTATGTAAACGTAGGTAAACATGCATCACAATACATTCATCATATTTTAAAGTTACACACACAGAAAATGTGGATGTATTTCCAGATATTAAAAAGTCAATTTTATATAAGAATTGTTAACATCAATACTACTCAACTCCCAATGACTTTTCCTCATTTGGGATTGAAATATATTTTCTACAGTGGAAAGAAATAATTTTCAAGTAAAAAAATTTATTTCAGTATTTTGGCCCTGGAAAATATACAGCAGTGAAACAGAATAAGTAAGTATGTTTGGAAACTTAACATCAAATTAAGTATCAATTTTAGATGGAAAATTATTATATTTTATGTTGAACATAATTTAGGCAATATTTTAGGGTCTGCTTAGTAATAAAGGCAATCTTTTAATTATTTTAATTGAGATAACTTTTTATCTTCTACAGGTTATATTTGGAGAGATTTGGTTATACTCCAGAACATTAACATTAAAAACCACCAAGTCAGCAGCCAAATGAAGCGAGACCATTTAATAAGAGTAGTTAAGTAACTATAACAATTTTGATTTGTGTAGGGACAGCATGCTTTTTCCTTCTTTGTGTCCCAGCAACAGGTTAAAAAACACAGCCCTCCAAAACCAAAGCCAAACTAGCATTTACTGCAGCCTTCATCACTTACAGGTCTTGCAGCAGCCATCATTATATGTCTGCACAATTCCTCCGTTCTAGAGAAATAAAAGAAGAATATATCAAAAAAGACTGTGCCCAATGCAAAGGTATATTGTATCTCAAGAGATTCCATGTTTTAAAGATGTCCAACTAATAAAAAGTAATATCTAAATCAAGAGAATTGCACAAATATGCATCAAATGTTTGGTTCATAAATTCTTTAGTCTTTAACACTGAAAATGAACTTGTCCCTGGTTATCTGACCTTAACTAGTATCCTTTGAATAAGTCAATTGATTTCTATAAGCTGTTTTTTATATTGCCCATTATCATCTATTTTACCACCAGTGAGATTTAGCAGGAAAGTTTAAAAAAATCATTTATGTAACTTTGTGGATGATGTAAAAAGGTTTACACTGCTTATATACGTAGCAGAAAATTAGTACCTAATAAGGAGCTATTTACAACATTAGAGATATACATGTATGTGTAAGTACATATATATACATATACACACACTTTTGAAACAGAACATGAATTGCAGAATTTCATATATGTTGATGTGCTCAATTATTTTTTCTCAAACAATAATAGTCTTTGCTATTCTATTTTCTAAAGTCACTTGTCAGCCAGAAAGTAAAATGTATCAAAGTGGAGAAAATTTCCTTGTGAAATTAAAAGAGAGCACAAAGGAAAGAAAGACAGAAAGAGAGCCTGCCGTCTATCAGAATGTGTGCAAGGAAGAAACATGTACCCACAGTTTTATTGCACAGCCCAGAACTGTGTGTAAAGCAGACAACTGAACATCAACAACACTTTTATAACAAAAGACAAAAGCTTCCATTTGTAAGGTTCCATTGTTTCATACATAAATGCATTTTTTATCTCATTACAGAAAAATTACTAAGTTGTTCAAGAACTTCTTAGATGAGCACTTAAACTCAGCCTCTTAAATCTGTATTTGTTTCAAAGTTATCCTTAGCAGACTGTCAGAAGAGCTTTCTCCTGGCTCAAGTCTACATTTAGCATCTCTGAAAAAATAGGTCAGTCAGGAAGTTAATTTTAGTGCTCTGTTCATTACAATCTCAACTAGAATTATTAAGGAAAGATCCTAATAGGTAGTGACAAAAGGATTCCAAGGAAGAAACTCAAGGATAAAGTTAAAGTGGAACAGGCATTAATTTTAGATTGAATGCCTTCTTCATGACTGGAAGAAATAAGGAACTTTAAACAAATGCAATGGACACATAAGAATTGGGCTAAATTTGTAATGTGTAGTCAAGACAGTGATGGTACTTACCCTCTCTACGTGTTTTTTTGTTTGTTTTTTTGATAGCTTATATATGGTTTGGTATACCACAAGTGCAAGAACTAGAAATATGAGAAGTATTATAAAATTAGGGAAGTACCAAATTGCAAATATAAATTTTTCAAACAAATTTGTAATGTACATGAAGCATCTACATTCTTTAAAACAGCTTATTGGGCATGCCAAAATTACCTTTTTAGATATATGGTGTAGGTAGATAACCTTTCAAGTATGATAAATACTTTCTGTTATGTCATACAAAGTTTAGTTTAAGAGATAATTAAGTTTGTATACACATGGTCATCCTTCTAATCCTTGCATTGCTTAAGTAATTTTTAATATAGTTTGCATTTATATGCAAGATTTCTGAACTGCTTCATCCAATTTATTTAATATATATGCACTATAAACTTAAAAGTATTATTCTGAACTAAGTAAGAACTAGTGATTAACACTTTATATAGCAGTATCTCAAGCGCAACACAAATTCAAGAATATTTCAAAAGCAGTCATTATTAAAGCCCAAAAGGAGTTTCTGTGCTCCTCACAGATATTGTTAGTCAAAATGCAAACAGAAAAATAGCAAACAACACTGATCACATTGATCACTTACATCTTGTAACTTACCACTTTTTTTAAGTTTAAAGAAAGCACACAAAGTATGTGTGCATTTTCAAGTGTAGGCGAAACTCCATACTGACAGATGAGTTATTGTTACTTACCTCACCCAAAGTACAAACCTTTGTACACTCAGTGTCATTGAAAGGGGGGCAAACTACACCAGAGCCCAGTATCATAGCCCCTGCAGCAGTCTTTGTACACTTGTAGTTTGTGCAGTTGGAGCTCCAAGTGCTTCCTTCCTGAACATGTAATACAAAACCGTTGTCAGCAAAGAAACACATTTCGGCTATATCTCAACTCCCAGATGTCTGTACAAATCTTGCCTTCACGCTGCAGTATCTACTGGAGTGGATAGTTTGTTGCACGCTTACCCACACCAGCAAAGACCATCCTCTAACTGCAGTGGCGGCTCCTCCCTGGAGGTACTGGGTGTACTAGAGCAAAATGAAGGGGGTCTGTGCCAGAAAAAGGGAGTAATTCTTTTGCTCTAAAAGCAATGGAAAGCATGAACCAAGCCATGGCCACGTCTACATTTTCTTGTATGTGGCTGCTGGAATGCAACAGTCAGATTCCGAAACCCGGTCATTCTGTTTGCACACTTGCATGCTGTAGGAACCAGAATGGAGAAAAGAGTGACCCTGAGAAGTGGGGGACACAGGAGTTCTGATGTGGACCCAGAAGCACAAAAGTACTGCCAACTCTTCTCAATCACAGCATATGACTTAGAGTTACAATTCAACCTCTAACTTGCACTTAGAACATATCCAGCCTTAAGTAAATGACTACATTTACCCGTCTTTGTGGGGGATATTACAACCAATAATATTACAACCAATAAAATGAAACACAGTATTTATCTGCTGTGAAATGGCAAGTCTATAAATAAACATAATTTTTCCCTGTTATATCATTTACCATAAAGAGCCCCCAAGTGCATTAGCAACAATAAGGAAGTATGAAGCAAGACTCACTGCATGAGTTTACTAAGTGACCATCAGACATCTGTGCTTATCATGTCATTATACTTCTGTCCCTCTCCAGAGGCACTTACCTCATATACAATTTGTGTGCCATTCTCAGTGTGAAAAAAACAGGACACGTTTAGACAGGTACCACAGCAACTATGGCGACTGGGGGAAGGAATATATATTTGATGCTAGAGGAAAAGGGAAAAAAGAAAGAAAAAGACTTTTTTTTTTTTTTAAACATACAACTTACAAAAGTTCGTTGAATTCTGAAAATAAAAATACCAAGACAAACAATATGTATGTATGGATCTTGAGGTCTCTTCCAACCTAGAAAATTCTGTGATTCTGTGATTCTGTGATGAATATATTCACAAACACTACTAAATATCACCTCTTAAAAGAAGCCTGGAGTCACAGAAGATATACATCATCACTCTTAAGTTTTCAAATTCTTTCTGAGTAAACTAGACTAATAAAAATCTGCCCTTTGATTTTTGTACTAATTGTGAAGTTGTGCTTAAAATTGCATCATTTCATTGTTTAAAGTATACTTACAGCTTCACATTGCTGGGAACAGTTCACTGTTGTAAAATGCATGGCATTGTATCCTGTGTTGTGATCTTTTTCTTGTAAACACTGTACAGTATAACAAAGGTCTCCATCCAAGTACTGAATCACTGATTGTCCAGGATTCAGTACTGTTACTTCTTGGAAGATGCACACATCATCCTTTTCTGACACCAAAAGAAAAACATGTTACAAGTGAAAAAAAAAAAAAATCATCAAGCAAGTTAAGAGGATCTCTGTGAGGACAAAAGTAGGGCAAAGTCCTATTCACTGCAAAAGTCTTCCAAGTTTTAGATTTGATCAGTTTATGCATTTAGTTATCAAACAAAAGAGGGAGGGGGTATAATTCAGCTCAAAAATAATAATAAAAAAAATGCTAAAAAGTGCGTAACTGACTAAAATTGACAATATTGATACTGTGGATTTTTATTTTTTTTTTTAATAATAATAATCTATTGTTCTTTTTTAAAGAATTCTGTTTTTTGACATTGGGACAATTAAATTACATGAATTATACTGCACATCATAAAATGTAGCTTTTTTTTGTCAATTAATAAAGCATTCCTACAATTAAATGTGGGACATTAACACGTTCAATCTGTACCGTAAATTTGTGCTTTGCTACCAGAGGCAGTTTAGCCTGGGCTCCTGTCAGGATTATGGGATGCCTCATGAACTCCCATAAACAGTGGGCTGTAATCTAGTTTGCATAAGGTAAATGAGTTACGGAAGGGAGCAGAAGTCTGATCTTAAAATTGGGCTCCTACTTTCATGCTGGCTCATTTGAGATTAATAGTGTGCAGAAAGAAAGAAAGAAAGAAAGAAAAAAAGAAAGAAAGAAAGAAAAAGAGGGAGGAAGGGAGGGAGGGAGGGAGGGAGGGAGTATGGACAGTTTTAATACACTCCCTATGCCTCTCAAGACCAAACACAAAGTTGATGAGTTTGCAGATGAAATATAATATTAAGTAATGACAGCATAATTCTGTATCTTGGTAGACATCCATAACAGAAGATCGTTAAAATTGAGAAAGCGATTATCAGCCTTTTTAGTAAAACTTAAAATCAAGCAGACATGAATAAAAAGTTACCACAAATGTAGTGAGTGCATCCACAAGCACTGTAAATGTTACTGTCTATTTTTTTAACTTCTCCCTGCGTGTAAAAAGATAAAAGAATTTGCAGTCATACACAAATGTATTTCTCTAAATTTCTCTAAAAATATAAATTATTGCTTTCATCACTTTCACCCACGTTCCATAAAAGAGTAAAAATGCAGTGTCCTCAAGAAACAATAGCACATTCAAAAATATTCAATGTATTTATCTCTTTCAATAAGCGCAAAATACTTCATTTTCTCTAGGAATGAATATAAACACCAGAGTAGTTGTAACAGCAGTTTTTCCTGAGATAAAAAGTTATTTCAATAACAAACATATCAGCAAAAAAATGCCTGCTATGAATTTTCTTCCCAAAGATAGGTAAAAGCTATTAAAATTTGCAACTCCTGTTTACATATTACATTATCTTTCTTCACATAAGAGGAAAAGGGGGACAAACTACAAGCATTTAATAGGGAAAATGTCCCTGATATTAGAAGTTTGAACATTCGCTTATCATTATTTTCCAGCTCACTGTCCTTGCTGTGGGAGCATACAAGGAGCAAAGTATTTATGACTTTTCATATCTAAGCTAAGATATAGCTAAGTTCAATAATGTTAAATCATCCTAATTGAAAGCATAAATGCTTAACAAAATAACACATTTCTCCGGATGATACATACGATTGTAAGGGTCATCACTCATTAATTATTAACAACTAGGAATTATTTAAGTGGGGAAACTTCTAGCATTTTGTTTTGAGTCAACATTGAACAGAATAATATTACAGTTGCTTTTCTTCTTTTGTCATCCTAAAACACACAGAATGAAATTTCCCCAGGGAACAGCTGACAACACCATACAGAAATTTGATCGAGTTACATGCTTGAGCTGGGAGCTGAAAGGCAGAGTCCTAGCTTGTCCAGGTTCAGACTTATCACCCTTTACAACAAATTAAACAAAGAATGGAAAGGGAGGAGTAAGAGTGCAGTCCATGATTAATAAAAATATTTAAAGGGCAGCTCTTACCAATTTGCAAGTCACCATAGTAGCATTTTCACAGCTACATTCTGAAAAGAGAACAAGAAAAGCATATCAGTCAGTTACCTAATTGCTTTTATTAACTACAGTGACTAAGGAATAAAGTAATAATTACCACAGTGCCACTCTGGACAACACCGCCCAGGTATTTTTTCCTTCACAAGTTTCATGTCATCTGTACAATTAATAGGAGGATCAGAACAAAGGTTTTCATCACAAACTAAATGGGAAAAAGAGACAGGTATAAGAGTACTAATGAAGAGTACAACAGAGGTACAATGACATAAATGCTGTCTATTTTATTATAGATGTTTTAAATGTATGGATGTATACGAACAATTGTATATTTAAACACTAAGGATCAGATCTGGATCCAGATTAGTGTATTGGTATCTAGATAGCCCTGAAAGTAGCTCTTTAGTGTTTGGTGAACTAAATAAACTCTTCAGACTCCACTGGCTGTTCTGGTTAGACCACCATCGAGTATACCAAGAACTTTGAGCCTATCTCAAATGTAGACACCCTCATTTAGAGCCCTTAATCTCTAGCTGAAGCTAGAGATGCTGCACCAAACAAACCTCCACACACACTTCCTATCATTTTTATTAAATTTGGTAACATATTCAACTAACAGTTATACTCACCACAGTAGTAATGAGGACAACAGTAATGTATGGTATTAAGGTCTACAGTGAGAATTTCTCCTTCATTACACAAGGGAACAGGATCAATACAGGATTCACAAACTAAATGAAAAACAAAACAAATATTTACAAATTTTAGATAATAGAAAGTTAATGTGCATATTTTATTTATTACTACAAGTCTTATGCCTCTTACTTGGATAACAGAACTTTTATGGACTGGTATTCAAATCCAGAAAGATGCAGTGCATGTAGTAGTGCATACACTTAAGTGTCAGGACTTACACTAAGTCATAGACAGCTTGGTGGTGAGGAACTACTGAGGCTCAGCTGTGATCCATGATATAGCACACTGACAACACAGATCATATAATTCAATGGTGAAGATCAATGTATGATAAAATTATGTTTGAAATGAAAGATCCCCAAACCCAAGTGTAATTCATGCTCCAGTCAGCCTGGCCTGTGTGAAATCCCACTGACATCTTCAGGAATTCCTGGATTAAGTTATAAGGTTTAAAAATATATACTACTTTTGTAAATACTTAACTATTCCTCAGCTACCCACAAAAATAATTGAGCTTTTTTTACCACAGACATAAGAGAAACAACAGGGATCTTCCTGTTTTGCTTCAACAATAAACTGGTCTTCTCTGCAGTCCAGCTGAGAAGCATTGAAACAAACTGAAGGATCACATTCTGTAGGATATGAAATAACCAGTATTTTAAAAAGAGTCAAAGAAACAATGCTAAAAAGATAAATAAAATGAAATCTTCTTTTGCTTATTAAAAAAAAAAAAAAAAAAAAAAAAAAAAGACAGTAAATCAAAACTGGCACAAAACACAAATACAAAATAATATTGAGAATTTGAAATAGATATACCATTGCCTGGAGCTATTTACAGTGTCCCATTCTACTAAAAATCAAAACAGCCTGTAAGGCAAACTTTCTTACTACAGACAGTAGAAGCCTGGAAAGTGTCCCAGTAATTGTGTTTTTGTATTTCCCTTACCACATCGGTATTCTGGACAGCAGGACAGAGGGTTGTAGCCTACAACCAATTTTTCATTGGTTTTGCATGTTGGAATAATGGCATCACATAATGACATGTTACATTCTGTGGGATAAAAAACAACCTGCTTTAACATTTACAAACAAATACAAGTGTAAATCCTACAGTTCAAGCTATTTATACCATTTACTAGGAGATCCACATACTAACAGCAGTCCAAGGCAGCTTGCAGTGCACTGCACATCAGCACGTAAGCCTCCCAGCTCAACCCAGAGATGGTATAGCTCTGTTCATGTAGCACTGTGCAAGCACAGTGTACCTAAAGCAGGTACTTACTTTGCCCTGCTTCCTACAAATGGAGCCAGCTAAAGTGTCTCAGTGAAAATGTTCCTTAAACAAATCAACAACACAGTGTTATTTACAGGTAGCTAAGGAACAAAATCACCAGATCTGCTAGACCATTTGTTCTCTTTTTCCCTGAAGACGTTATGAAGGAAGTATCTTCTGCTTAACATTTTTAGCAGCAATAACTACATTCATTTTGCTACAAACCAGGGCTGGGTAGAATACAATCAATGATCATATCATGGAGTAATGCTTTCTTTGAAATGGCATGAGGTCAGAGGATATTTCATTTAGCACCAAGACACTCATAAGAAATGCAGATAGGCTTGGGTAACTGCCCCAACTACCAAGCCACTTCTTTCATTGAGTATTTGTTAATTTCTTTTGAAATTCTACTGAGGAGCTTAAAAAATCATTTTTTAACAGAAGGTTTGTTTCACTAATGGATGTGGAATACAAAATAAATAAATACGTATTTCAGTGAATCACATCTTACATAGAAGAGAACTGCTTTGCTGACCCAACCAGCCACAATTACCTAAAGATCACTTCTCAAAAATGTCACCTTGAACCTTGTCTAAAAATAAACCTCTGCCAACAAATACCAAGCACTTAACTTACACTTATGTTACTGAATATGTGTGCAGCTGGGTACATACCACAAACTTTCTTGGGACAGCAAGCCCTTTCTTCAATGACATGGATGATAACTTCTCCTTCTCTTTCACAAGCTGGTGGTGGATCATCATTACATTCAGGTTCTACAGCAACAACACTTCCATTTTCTAAGCAGTTGTACATGCAACAACCTCTCATGGACTCACTCCAGATCTCCCCAGCAGAGTGGGGTTGGCCTCTGTTATCTGTACATGCTGAGAGAAAAATATCATATCCCTTTGACAAGAAGAGAGCACAGATTTCCTGCAAGCAACTATTAGTTTGTCATCTAGGTAGCCATACTGCATAAAATAAGAATGCTGCAGAACATTACAATGAAGGAGTCCCCCCCCCCAAAATTATGACATTAAAAACCCCAAATGAACAAATGATCTGTTAGGGCTGGGAATAATCAGTTGATGCAGGAGAAAGAAGCTGTCCGTTCTACTCATTCCTGAGTACTCTAGGAAAGAAAGCCTGGGAACTATGGAAGGAAGAATGATCATCATTTTTCCTGTGCCGGGTGACCACAGCAAGTGGAGTTAAAGTATAGACTGCTATAGCTTGAGATTAAAGATAGGTTCTGCAGAAGGGAACTATACCAGATTCACACCTACTGAGGACTGAAATAGAACTTAAACATCTCTTACACTGGTCGGTGGTCAATATTAGCAAATATTTGCCAAGCTCTTCTGTCCTGCTGTACTTACTACATTTTTCTTCTGGAATACAGAGGTCAGAGTCTGTTCTATGTAGAATAGTTCCATTTTTACACACACAGTCTTCCCTTAAATAGGAGCAGGGAGAATCTTCATACAACCACTTATTCAAGCATGTCTTTGCTTCACAGGGTTGCACACAAGGCTGGTATTCCTTGCCCTCTGGACAACTCAATGCTGCAAGTCATAAAAAGAGGAAACTGAGTGCTGGTATCATTCTTTCAGAATTTCATTAGGTAAACAGGTAGTAGGAACAATAAAGTATATCACAGAAAGCATATATTTATATTGTTAGTGGTTCTTTAAATAAGCTTCTTGTTCAATCAAGATCAAAATTCTTTCATGACACTAACTGGCGGTACATTTCAAGAACTTGGACTGTGGCTTACTAATGCTGTGATAAAATGAGACAGCACGTCCAATAGCAATAGGAAGAAATGTATTTTTTAACTCATCTAAACACTGCAGCAAGATAAAGTCACATTAGAATATAGAACATTGTTATTTGCTTACAGCAATAATCAGATGTCCTCCATTTAATGCAGATATTATGCTTGTTGCATAACGCCACGTACGCAGAAAGTGCATCACACTCATAATTCCAAAAATGAGTGCTGTTGATCCACATCTTTTCACAAAACTCCTGTGGTGAAACCTAGGAACACATTGTAATTGAGAATTAACAAGTAGAAGAGTTTTCTGTAGTTAAAATTAATCATTAATTACAAGAAATAACAGCTGCAGGGGAAATAAAATCACAAGCATTCTCCAAAGTAGAAAATATCTTTTTTTTTTTCTTTTTTTTTCCAGAACAATCATTTTGCAAAACTCAAATTGCCAGAAACTTATTCTGATTAGTAGGCATGAGACTGTAATGCTACTTACAAGAACTTTTGCAGTACTGTCTGATCAGCTAAAAATCAACAATCTCAATTAAACATTGCTGATATATCTTCCATAAATTCCTGCTGTGAATGAACTATTACTGAGTACTCCTTTTGTGTGTGTATAGGGCCTGATTGCCTATGTTACTGAGTCTAAATGCAGGTTCCAACCTATCTTATTTGCATTGTTTTTCTTTGCCTAAGTTTACAAAAGAGGTGGGAGAAGTCAGAATTTGTTTTATTCTGCCTATCCACTACTGTGCAACAGCCTAGCTCTCCTGGTGGTTTCAGCCAATCTTCAAGCTGTTGTTCACTCCTGACTTAGAGTTTGTTACACAGACGATTCTGTTACCTATCCTTGTCCAGTTGCTTCATGTCTGTGAAGCACACAATATGCACCATCCAGTCTCACTCTACTACCGTAGCGTACATGAAAGAAAACAAACTTCGTAATGGATGAACACGCTATGTCAGATTTTGATATAAGCCAGGAAGATATGCAATTGCATTGCACCTGAGGATATGACAGTTCTCCTAGAAACATATATGGAGTAAGAGTTCTGACTATTCAGATTAAATTATTTCAAAATCAGATATGGTAAAACAATTATGAAAAATCTATTGCTGCCCACTGATGCTATTCTCCCTTCTTGATTCCACAGTTCATTCCTTGCCCTTCAGCATCTGTGGCAGATAGCTATAAAATCTCTTTAAGCCATGTCTTTAGGAAGACTTTCCTCCATTTTTTCTACCTGGGAAAAATGAGGAGAGGACTTGGGATTTTGAAGGAAGGGGTTCAGCTGTCTACAATCCCTGTAATGGCATTTGTCTATGATGACCACACAGAGTCATGCAAAGCAAATCCAGGTTGGAAAGGCAGAAGAGCTAGAATTGAATCAGGAATCTAGACATGTCCATCTCTGAGAAAGATAGGGGCACTTGAATAATTAATCCTTTTTATATTGAATTAAGTGGGGAAAGTCAATGCTGAGAGAGATAGGCTTTTTCATTTCCCATTGTGGGAAGCAGCTGTGCTGCTCTAGTGGTAGTCTGCATGCTAGAGATACATCTCTGTTTGAAAGCACAGTTTCCAGAAATAAATTATCGTGATTTCTGTAAGAAAAGCTACCAAACTGTCAACATAATAGTAACAACATCAAAAGCTGTTTAACAGGAAATTTCATTAGTCCAACCAGTCTTAGACTACATGAGTTGCTGTTGTATACAGAAGCATGAGGCTTTCATTTGTAGTGACTGTTGTCAAGCTTTTATTAAAAAGCTATCACTTTTCAGTAATACACCTGTGTTGGGATGATGACCTGGTGCTACTTCTTTGAGCTTTGACTAATCAGTAATTTAAGAAACAGAGTTAAGGCACAAAGATCCATACAGATGCACTTTTCTTTTTATGTAACATCATCTGAGGAATTATTTACAGTAGACAAGATGACAAAAGCATTAGAGCCACCCTGTTACGAACTCATGAAAATAAGTAAAACATAAAAAATCTGCATCTCTCTTACTCTTTTCTTAACAGTGCAAATTTCATTTAATTTGCACCTGGAATTTCTTTGAAAATTGTACTCACTTTCTTGTGACAAGGAATGAAAACACTTCTGTTTAACAGTTCTATGCAGTATGTGCAGTTATCTTCAGTACAGTTTCTTACTGGCCTCCTAGTTGTTACATCATGTGATTTCTCAATTGCCCAACTCTTAATGAACATTTCAATTTCCTCCATATTTGTAATTATGGTCCTGTTTTGCATTTTCAGGTCATCAGAAGGGTCTCCATTACACACCCCTGGAGTCAGAGCATCACATTCAAAGTAAAAATAAACAAACAAACAAAAAGGTGTGTTACTTCCTTTGAGAAAGAAAAGTGCACATGGTAAGATTAACATTGCAACAAGTTCATGTGTGAGACAGACATTTGAATTAATAAATCAGAGCAGTTACATGTCAACTGTAGGTCCAACTGTCTAGATATTTTATCATTAGCTTAGCAAGGCAAGCAGGTCATATAATACAAGTAATAGTGCTTTTCCCAACCAAGAATGAACTTTTAAGAAAAACTGTCACTGAAATATGCTGTTGAGGGGGGAAAATTCATTGACATGGCACCAAATTCTTTTCTGTTCCACTGAATAGCAATCATCTGCATGGGAGTAAGTGTAAATGATTTTCAAATTAATTGCACATCGCTGACAATCTGACACTTTATTGAAATTTAATTGGACATTCTAAATGCAAGAAGTTGTGAAAGAACAAATTGCATTCTTAATTGAAAATATTTTTCCTAACTGATTTACAAAAGCATTCAAAAAAGCACTCCCCAAGCCCCAAACATCCATTGGCTACTTGAATTAGAGTGCAAATAGAGTGTATTTGGTTAGTTAGTTTGGAAATAGTGTATTTAGTTAATTTATCAATTGAAATATGTATTTGCTACGAACATACAAGAAGTCAATAACTTCTTTCTAACGCCTTTTTAATTTTCATAATAGTGTTTTAAATCCCAGAGACAGAATACCCAATGTTTCTGTATCCTTTCTCCACTTTGCTTCTACAGCCCAAGTCTTCATGCTTCCAGCCCTGTATATATATAGCTTCCAGGGAACGCGGTGGGCTAGGCTGGTGTGATAGGCCCTGCTATTCTCTCTGACAGCATTGGGAAATACAGGAGATGGTATTTGCATGATAAGAAGCACTTGATGGTAGCACTGCTTCTTCTTGTCCCAATGCCCCCCCACAGTCAGTACTGGCATTAGAATTCTGTAAGATCACCCTACAGATCATCAGCAGCAATACAGATGTAAAAATAAAACCAATTTACCACATAGTCCAACATTTTATTCAGTATGAAGGGGAGAGGACAGAATTCCAGATGGAAACAAACATAAGATAACAAAAAAAAACAAAAAAGAAACACCACCAACAACAAAACAAAACAAAACACTAACTGAGGCTTCATATTTTTTGCAAAACACCAGGTAGAGCAGCACTGTTAAGTTGAAATTGGATTTTTGTGCATATTCATCTTCCTCCTGTCTTTTCATGACATAAAGAGCAACTATTCTATAATACTTTCTACCTGCAATCTCATCTCATCCCAACCTTTACGGTTTGAATAGAAAAGATACTGGGCATGATACTGGGAAAAGGTGCAGTATCTGCCACAGCCAGCATTCCCCTTCCCTCACAAGATGTAGGAGAACTTTCCTTTTGTTCAAGCAGAATACAGAAATTGATTTTAAATACTTAATCTGCTTAGAATGCAAATGTAAACCATACTTGAATTATTTTGTTTGCTTTTAAAACTAAAAGCAGATTGAAATATTTCAAAAAAAAATTTTTTCTGATCAATATGGGATAGGTTTCAGTAAAATAAATGCACTAGAAAATGAACATTTATGATGCAATTAGTGTTATTCTAGAATACCTGCTTATGTTTTTCCATAAAATTCATACTGGCACAGTTATAAAGATATTATTAGGGAAGCTTGGAACATGCAAAATTTAGTGTCATTGTAATTTAAGTCTGAGATACCTCAAACAGTCTTTGACCCTAGATCCAACTGTAACATGTCTGGATTTGGATTCACCATCCTTAGAGACCTCAGACCCTTCCCAAGTTACACCTTTTATCAGTGTTTGCATAGTACTAGCTGACACTGCCAGCATCCTATAGTTATCCCTTTCTCCTATAATCATTGAAGCATACTCTCCGTATTTGAACGCAGTCACTTTTCCATATAAAGTTTTGCCCTTTTCTTTGCTTGGCTTCAATGATATTCTTAGCACAGGAAGAGATGAGTACATTTAAAAAAAAAAAAAAAAAGAAGTTATATACAGTGTATTGATCATTAATTGTTCTGAAAACTGCTGTTATCAAGCATTGCTTTCAAACAGGATTATTGATTTATTACTGTTAATAGAAATTCACAAGCCTACCTCAAATATGATTGTCAGTGTAACTAATGTGAGTCACAAGGAAAGCTACAGGGATAACAGATCACAGACACAAATGGAAGGCGTAAATTGTAAAAATGAAAGTAAATAATTGTGATCATAGCCTCACCACAAAGTCCTTCTGTCTTCATTGATGTGTTAGAGTGTAATCCATACTGTATATCTATGATGCCTGTAACATGAGTCCACTTGATGCTAATACCAGCTGGGGTATTAATGACATACATTGCACCAGTATCCTGAATACTCAGTCCTTCTTTTGAAAATGGTAATGATGGAATTACAGAATCCACTACTACCTACAATAAACCAAATACATTTTAGGGACAAAAACAGCTTGCAAGGATGTATTTTATATTTATTTGCATCTTAAAGCAAAAGATAATTTTACAGTGTCTGCCACATACAATAGCAGTAGTCACTGTCTTTATATCACAGTGCTTCCTGTTAGCAACTCTCTAACTGCAGATGAAGTAGGCATGAGAAAAAATAATGACATCGAAGTCTTTTCTAATTAAGGAAGCAATAAATATTATTTATCCTATATCATCTGGTAAAAAAAAAAAAAAAAAAAAAAAAAAAAAAAAAAAGATTATTCTGATTATTTAAAGTTATCTGTTCTAATCTGTTATTGTCTAGCAGAAATGACAGCCTAAATATTTATCAAATCTTGCAAAAGTATTCTGTTCTAGGTTTTCTGGAAATATTGTCTCAAATATAAATGCCTTTTGTAGCTTCTTTAAAATCTCAAATCACTTTAAAGTGTTGTATAAATGACAGGCAAGTGAGGCATAGTATCAGAAATGTAATTTTTTCTTCTTCTAGCATACCATGAATTACCAGGAACATGAACTGCAGAAGTAATCCTAGTCCTGTACTACATTCATTATAAGCCAGACCTACTGCATTCTATAACAGAATAGCTCTCCAGTTATCTCTTAAATGTACACATATATGTTGATGATATATACTTACTTTTCTTGCTAAACGATTAATAAGTAATTTAGATCTATGTGTTGTTACATTCAACTTCTTAAAACAGAGCCCTGAAGTGCTTGCAGGGGAAACCTTGAAAGAAAAAAAAAAGTGATAAAAAGTTATAAGGAGTAGAACAATTATTTCAATATATGTAATACTTGTACAATTTATAATTAATAAAGGAAAAAAACTACTTACTAGATTTCTTATTGAATTTGCACTCTGAAAAAAAAAAAAGTAGATTAGAAGTGCAATGATAATCAGCAGAATTCTTATTTGGCAAGAATAAATTGAATGTTCTCTTTGTGTTTAAAATTTCTTCTACAATCAGCTTCCTAATTTAAATCATCCAATATATTCCTTATAAATAATAATAAATAATAATGATAATAAATAATAAAAAATAATACACATTTCCCAGTAATACACTGCACCTTTCAATTAACTAATTTTAGAAACTTTCTTTACTTATTAAAAAGTTAAATAAAAGGGGTTTATATGGCAAATAATACAGAAAAGACAACCCAACAACCTAGACAAGTTGATTAAAAAAAGAATACTTAGGGATATAATGGTCATTCCAATAAAATCCCCTGCCTTAACTTTGATAAAACAATTTTACCAAGACATCTTTCCACACACGATTGCAACTCATGTATACCATAGTTCAGCTAGCTTCCAAGGAATCACCTTTAACATTGAGAGTGACTCATTAATAGCCTCATGAATCTCAGCATATGTTATAAAACCCTTTTAGAAAATATTTATTAAATAAATACAACTACAGACTTCTCATTTGCCTATGTAAGCTACAATCACACCTTTAGTCTTCATCCAAGAAACAGTGAAAAGAGTAATTCAAAAGAACGCATCTAAAACATTGCAATGCAAAAGAAACATTTGTGCAGACTCTAAGGATGAGACCGACCTGATGAAAAATGGCAGTCCAAAAATGAAATGTCTGGACTCCCTCTGCAGGCAATGCAGAGAGGTAGACAATTGCAAAGTATCTCATCATACTAATCCTGAACTTCTACTACCTTCCTTAAATAAAGACAAAAGATTTTTCCAAATATTTCTTCATTTTGACAATACTGTAAAGTATAAATTCAGTTGAATTTATGAAAAATGAAAGTTTTTAGTGATGCATTTTTGCGCTTTTTCATACCTATAACACCAACATTCAAGACAAATTATTGAGGAAAAGCAAGTATCTTACCTGATTAGAAGGACATTTTTCTATATGAGCAACAATAATTTCTCCTGGTAGCTTGACTAGAATGTAGGAAGCCATATTACAGAGGGCTATGTTGTTTCCATCGAATGTAATAACACTCAGTTCAGACAGTACAGAACATTGACCTAAAAAAGAACTGTCATTTATTGAGGTTACCATGAAACAGAATACTAGGAATTTCTAAAAACATTATTAGTTTGAGCAGTAGTTGCTTTCATATGAGGTACATTCATGTATATATTGGTGGCATTTTTCTGTAGATAGCATATTGAGCCACAAGAAGAAGCACCTTGTATTATTCAGTGGACATAGCTTAACCAAGTGCTATATGCCCAGAAAATTATTTTAAAATGGTAAAGATTTTCACTTACAACAAGGTTTTACAAGTAAGATTAATGAATCTGTACATTGTTAGATGAAATATATACATTAATGTATACAAATATTTGACATGCTGATAGCAAGATACACATCCATTCTATCTTGAAATAAATATATAAAAATGTGATCTGTGTTTCAGAAATGATGCAAGGCTTTTAATATGACTTCTCTTCAACCTTCTGGTTCCCTTGATAGACAGTCTGCTGCCCATTTCTACAGTTTCTAAATATAATTAAGTACTCCTTTTAGAGCTAAGTGAAGTTTGGGGGGGGAGGGGGGTTCTTTCAGAAAAAACAAGAATTTAATTTTTCTTCCCCAAAGTGTAGACATCTCAATGTTTTCTAATGATAGAAATTCTGAAGATTTTCAGTTGAAAATGTTGACATTTGATTTGCAGATCTAATTGCAATGTTTTCAGTTCAACAGTCTTTTTGACTGTCCTGAATGCTAATTTAAATATAACAAAGCATTTAATATATTTCATTGTTTTGCTGATGAGGCCCAAAACAATCTCCTTTAAACTCATTTCAGTGTTCAAATTAATCTTCCCACTGTATTAATCCCTTAATTTATCACTTGAAATTTCCATATTAAGTCTCTGTGTTGTAAGTATATAATAGTAAAACGGTGACTTACAGGGACATTCCCATTCTGGGCAACAACTATCATTGTTAACTTGAACTGGCATTCCTCGAAATCCACAATCTGGCTTCTTCACATCCTTAGGACAGTTCCTTGAAAGGTTGTATAACATCCAACCCATATTAACACATATGTACTGGCTACATTTGTCGACAGGTTCAAGATATCTTGGCTGTCATATATGGAAAAAACAACCAGAGTCAACTTTACACTCATTGTACTTATGAAGTCTAGGTGATCGCTAGTTTATTGCCCTACTCTGAGACAGAATTAACATATCTATGTGACTCCTCCTATATATTTGACTTTGGGTGTGGAAGTTGGACTAAAATATTCTTTTGTCATGCAACTCTAGATACAGTACAAACACCTGATCTTGCATTTGACTACCATGAGATGCATAGGATATCAGCAAGCTAAGCCTTTAGATCTCTCCCAGGCAACCTGGTCACAGGTTAAAAAAAAAAAAAAAAGAGAGAGAGAGAGAGAGAGAATTAAATTAATATTCTGCACTGCTAGTACTAGAAAGTAAAAGACCCCTAAGTAACCAGAACACTGGGAACAAAAATGTAGCACTTCCTCAGAGAGAATAAATACATACCCACAAACAAACAAACAAACAAACAAACAAAAAAAAAACAGTAAAATAAATTGCATTAAAATAAGCAGAATTCTGAATACAGTTAAATTCTTCAGGTTGACAAGCCAAGGAGGCTTGGGTGAGGCAAAAATGTCCTCCAATTTAAATACTGAGTGACTAACTTTGCTGTACAGACTTAATTATTGTGCAGTTGTTATTTGCATCAGTTATTTTGGAAAAAATTGCTTATTTGTCACATATGACAGTGATGAATATCAATTCACCTACACCCCTCCTGTTCCATCTAGTGACAGTGGAATACTCTACATAAACCATTATAATACAAACACATTTTTAAAAAATACAGAATCATGCATTCCCATCATTTTATACCCTATCAGAAAGAAAGAAATGGAAAACAGAAAGGTCTGATTATGGACAAAACTCCCAATTCCATGGACTATGGCTTTTTTCTGCACCTCAGAAATATATTTTGCTGTCTAGAATCAGCACATAGCTTTAGATTTTTTTTTTTTTTTTTCCTGAGCAACATATTGGTGTGGGGGGGTTGGTCTATTCTCCCACGTGCGTGGTGACAGGACGAGGGGGAACAGGCTAAAGTTGCGCCAGGGGTGTTTTAGGTTGGATATTAGGAAGAACTTCTTTACCGAAAGGGTTGTTAGGCATTGGAATCGGTTGCCCAGGGAAGTGGTGGAGTCACCATCCCTGGAGGTCTTTAAAAGACGTTTAGATGCTGAACTTAGTGATATGGTTTAGTGGAGGACCTGTTAGTGTTAGGTCAGAGGTTGGATTCAATGATCTTGTGGTCTCTTCCAACCTAGACAATTCTGTGATTCTGTGATTCTGTGATATCTAAGTTGCAAAATATAGCAGGGCAGTAAAAGTGCAGTGATACAACAATCCTCTAAGAATAATTCATTTTTACACAATAGAGAAAAAAAAAAAAAAGAGAGATACTTAAAATCTCTGGTATAACATGCTGAATAGCAGTATAGATATCCATACATTAACACATCAAGGCAAGTAAAACTTATCATACCACGCATTCAGAAGATGTATACGACAGTGCATGCATCATTGTGCCAGAAGAAGCCTTGTCAGCTATAGCTGTCAATGTTTCTGTGCTTGCCAGAGAAGTTTGTGTTTCCACAGTCTCTGAAGGGGAAGAAAGCACCATTTCACCAATAGAATGGGATAAATCTATTATAGTTCAGTTCTCCAACTCTGGCCTTTGTTAAATTGAAATAAGGTTTACCTGTTTTCTGTGTTAGGATTTTAGACCAATCTGATGTTATTACATCTGGAACTTCAGAGAGATTTTTTGCTAAGGTTATATTTCTTTCTCTTGAAAAGGGTGAACTCTGACCTACAGGTACTGTCAAATAAGGCAGGGAAGATTTCTCTGTTGTGGTTGACTTTGTCTTGGTTACATTTCTTTGCAAATGTGAAGTCTGGCTGCTTTCTAAAGTATCTGAAGTTCCTTCAAATAAGGTTGCATACTTAAATTCTGAAGCTGTAAATGACGAACTCTTTGTCTGTGATAATGGGTTTGTAGTACCAGTTGTTTTCGTGATTGTCATTTTTGGAGTTTCTGTACTGCTCTCTGAAATGTGAGATGCTGGAGATGTAAATAAAGACTTCCATGATACATACATAGGTGTTTCTATGGTAGTAGAAACTGAAGATGAAGCCATATGAAACTTCAAATCAGCAACAAAAGAATCAGATGTTTTTGTAGTAATCCTAGGGGCTACAGTAGTGTCAGAAGCAATTAATAAACTGGCTGAAGAGCTAGGTGGTATTTTTACAAAAGTATAAGATGCTTTTAGGGATGTAGCATTCATTGTTGTGTTCATTATCATTGGTGTAGTGGATTGAGTGATGATTCCAGCTGACATAACTGATATTCTTCCATCTTCTGCTGAAGAACTTACCGAAGAACTCTGTTTTCCTAGAGAAACAGTAGAGATATGAGTGGTCTTAGGAGGAGGTGAAGACATGGAGACCCTACCAGACTGGCTTTCTAAAGTGGCCTTAGGAGTTTTAGGCATTAGTAAAGAGAGCATTATATTGGATGTGTTTAGTGCTGCTGAAAGGCAAGTACAACAGCTAAAGTTTAAAGCGAATGTAGGAAAATCTGCAGAAGTTGCAAAGTCTGTAACTGGACCTTTTGAGGCTCCTTGTGCATCTAGAGATGAAACTGGTATTTGGGTAGCAGTTATATTTTGTGTTAATGAAGATGTCCTGCTGAATATGGGAATCACTGAAAAACTTGTAGTATGAGATGTAACAGAGGATGGTAGTGATGTTGATAAGATTTTAAGTAGAGATGATGGTATTGTGAAAGAAAGATCTTTAGGAAAGAAAGTGCTTGCACTCTGTGCAACAGGCATGACTTTTATCTCTGTACGAGGACTTATTAGGTACTCTGTAATTTTTTCGGTGGTAATGTTGCATTTGGAGGTAATACCAATGTCCTAATAGGGAAGACTGTAGAACGAAAGATTTTCTTTGGCTTTTTAGAAATGAATGACAGTGAAAAGGAATCGATGAGCCTTATGTATTTATTTTCTGTTGAGGCTAAGCTTGCTAAACACATGTCAGAGATTGTAGGATTGCCTAGTAGAGACTAGAGAAGTGGAAGGTTCTTTATAAATACTTTTTGTGACAACTGTGACATCTCTCATAGCTTTGGGCTTCAGGGAAGTAGTCAGAGAATGCACTGGTATTGAGACTGTGTGTGTTATAGAAGGACTTGAAGAAGTTTTTATAGGGATTTGAGAAGCAACTTGAGGTGAAGATCTCTATGGGCATTTCACTATGGGCAAAGCAGTAGAAATACTGCCTTTCATTAATGGAGATGTCTGCTTAGGAACAGTCACTGAAATTTCCACTGAAGATAAAAATGGCTTTGGAGAAAACCTAGCTAAAGAACTTGTATTTAATGGTACCAGAGAGGTTTTAGACAAGGGTTTGGTTGCTTCCAAAGATGAAGCTGTGATTAATTTTCTCAAATCTAGTTGTTTTAGGAATTTGAGAAGCTGCTGAAGTCAATGCAGAAATGGGTGTTGAGTGAACTACAGGTTGGCCAAAACCAGACATAGTTCTAACAAAGTGGATACAGGAGAAGTAGGTGTACTTAATGTCAGCCGTGAACCTAGAAGAAATATGGATCTTGTGAAAGTTGCTCTGCCAGCCAGCAAAGCAGGCAAAGACACTTCAGAAGATACTCCTGTTCCCTTAGAATGACTTACTGAAGGACTCCTACTCCTCACATTCCCTGCTGGCAGCTCAGAAGTGACAGAAGATGGTTTGGAGATCAAATTTGTTGAGGTAGAGGGAACAGTTCCTGTCTGGGTGGTTGATGCTTCAAGTGGAAGTGGAACTACCCCCAGTGAATTGTGTATTAAAAATGTAGAACCTGTTGGAAGAGGACTGGCACTGAGTAAGGTTGTTGAAGTTGTTATTGGAATAGGTAAAGTTATAGATGGGGTAGAACTGACAGTATATGATGTGACTGCTGAAGTTTGAAAAGCAGTTAGAAAATCTGTTGAAGATATGAGTTTGGAAAGGACAGAAGGGCTTGCTGTGCTGTGAGGTACACCAGAAGGCTCCACTGTACTTGATAATGAAAATGTCGAATAGGTGGCTGCATTAGATGCTTCCAGTGAGTAAAAGTCTGTAATGGACTGTGCTGACATATTCATTCCTGCTGAAGTTGTGTTTGCCTTCATGGTAATTTCGGTTGTCATATGGGTATGAGTTGACTCAGTCCCTGAAGTAACAAGAATAGGATGTTTCTGAGGAAATGTCGCTCTGGTAGTAATCATGTGAGGGTATAACATTGATGGTTTTGTTTCAATTGCTGATTCCACAGGTGTCACAGGTATACCTAAAATGAAAATGCACATTTCACTGTCTTTTGTGGATTATTGGTAAAGCAAGATAGCAACATCTATGTATACTCAAGTCCCATTTAAATACTAACAAATCAGAGCTTAATTTTGCTGAAAAGATAAGTTACCAATGGTTCCAGGTTGCCTGATGGCTTTGAGGAACTCAACTCACTCTCAAGAAGATTGTAATTTTCTTTGCAAATGGAGTAGCCAATTTTTATTATTACTGAAAACCTTGAATTTGCAGAGCAGTTTTGAAGCAACAAGGGAACTCTATGGAAAATTCAGTAAATCTAAAATAGTAAAGAAAATTGGCATAAGTAGATTATAGAGTATGCTATCTTTTTTTATATCTTTGGAAGGCGGTGTAATATATGAGATAACTTTGTACTAGAAAATATCAAAATGCAATTAATTTAAATTTGTAAAGGAAAAAATTAAGTATTAAAATGCAATAGTTGTGTTAAAAGAATGCAATATTCCAAAAATAAGCAAATAGTGGTATCTTCACACACCAGAAGTTATTAAATTGATATAAGGAAGCTGTTAGGGATGGTTCACCTACTGAAAAGTCTGAAGTTTTCACCGCAGCAATATTTTTTCCATTTGAGATCTTTCATATACATATGACACTCTAGCATTATATAGTCAAATCACAATTATAGTAAGTCTAAAAACACCAGAAATGTTGAATTTCACGCTAGTAGATAAATGAAGGTATTCAATGTAAATATTCATATGAATGTAGAAGATTTATTTTGGATGACTGGGAATGGAGCCTAGGTCCGTCCCAGAGAGAAACTCTTCAACAGAAAGATATTTTGTTAAAACATTTAATAAAAATTAATAATAATAATAATAATAATAATAATAATCAAAATCAAAATACATCTGATTAAATCACTTCTCATTATCTGTAAAACACTTTATAAGGTTAGATTAATATCATAAAATATACTTACAATCTTCTGGGTAAACACATTTAAGTGTGACCTCATCAAGGATCATGTTTTTGGGACAGTATGGCAAGCATCCTTCAACCCTTTAAAATATTGTATAGTTACTTCTAAAGCCACAGCAGAAATATAAATCAATTTTAAATTATTTTATTTTGGTAAAATGAGACATTTGAATGTCTTCCACATCAGAGTTCTGAGAACTTTCCAGTGTAAAGATGAACACAGAATTATGAGTTATATTAAGGTCAATGAGACAGCACAATTCTGTTTCTAAATTGTTAATAATCAATTATTTGCATATACTGATGGATGTGATGGCTTTGGAGCATTCTGCTTCCACAAACAGGTGGAAGTTCAGGTGCCTAAACTGAACAGATTCCAACAGGACCAAGAACTTAATTTGCAAGAGTGCTGTTTTGCCCAGATATGTTCATTTCAGATATAAAGATATTTAGACTGATTCTATAAAAAGTCTCATTCAAGTCTATATATTATCTTACCTTTTAATTATGGGGGGAATTTTAATAATAAAATTATTCAATAAGCAACCAGTGTGCCAATACAGAAAAAATGTAAAAATAGCAAGACAGGAAATTAGTTATATTAGAAATAATCCTAACTACAGATTGCGTAGGCCCATGGAGATAATCTGAAATTCAAAGTATCATTTCTTTTCCACCGGGTTTTGTGTCTTGAGTTTTTAGACATATTTTCTTTTGGTTTATTTATAAAAATTCACTTTCCATAGATGCTGGGGAGATCCATGGAAACAGGAAAGCTTTTTACTAAGACTAACAAACTAACACCAGCAGGGTAAAATCCCTCCTGTCATGCCAAAGACCATCTTTTAGTATAAAGTTCCATCCTCTCACAGGAGAGGGCGTCATTCACCCTAACTATTCCTCTAGCTTTTGGTCTCAAACTTTTAACCACCAGAAGGATTAAATCAGTTACAGTATCATGAGACACTAGTTTAGGATTTGAATATATAATATCCATTGAAGGGAACAGAGTTCATTTCATTCAATATATGTCAACCTAGCACTACAAGAAGCTAATCCCCTAGGCTAAATACAAACCCTTTTATTCTTTGTTCCTTATGACAAAAGATCACATGTAAACAAGAATATATAACATGGAAAACAAGTGGCTTGTTGCAAATGTTTTCACACTAATTGTGAGAGTTGCTATTGAAATTTGGATGACTAAAAATTAATGGACATTGCAGCTGAAGTAATTTTCAGAAAACATACTGTATGAACATTAAATCAAAAAATATAGCAGTAATATTGAGCTTAATTTGACTTACGGAGGAAGAAATTTACATGCTATTCCTTCAGGATCACTACATGTTTTAAAACAAGGATTAGCACAAGGTTCATATCTCCATTCACACATCCTTCTATAAGGCACAGAGGCACTGAGTTCTGAGAAAGAAGAAGGTATTATTTATTGGTTTACTAGTGAAAAAAAAACACTATAAATTTATAGTATTTTTTATATCCTTGGAATTTTCAGAAAAATGTAAAAAAGGAAAACCCGGTATGGAAATATTCAAGAACTTTAACAGGTGAGATTTTGTTCATTTATGTCATTTGAATAAGTATTTTAAATTCAGTCAAGGTAAAAGACACTGAAACATCAAAGTTACAAACAACTATTCATTTTTCACAACATATTCTGTTTAAAAAGATCAGTTAAACATAGTCAAATACAGTGAATGTATTCTTTGTTTCAGATATGATACTGTTACTCCATTTGTTTAAACAAATAAAAAATAAAAGATATCTGTGGCTCAATAACAAGATGTTAACATGCACTTTTTGTGACATGCCACATTTATTTTGAAAGAACAAAACAATGACAATATAATCAAAAGATAAAGTGTTCTTTGTATCTGAAAATAATAATAATAATAATAACATTTGGATGTAGAATGGAAGACAAAGACAGAATAGTAATTAAGAATAGGATAAAAATACTTGTTATTATTGCTAATGCATGAGAAATGCTCTGAAGGCAAGCAGAAGAAATCAAACTTATCCCTGCGGGTTATGCAAAATTTACCTTCAATACTAAAGCTACTTAGACGTTTGAATTCTTCCGAGTCATCATACTTTGCCACTTTAACACCAGATGATGTGAGAATGATGAAAAAGCCTTTTTTACTGTGCAGTTCGAAGGCGCTGAGCCCTGGACTCCAGAGGCCATGGTGGTGGAAAAACGTGGCTCGTCTCCGAAAGGAGGCACTTGCCTGCCACTGTTCCAGCCCAATGGTTTCATTAGCATGTATGTACAGAAAGTAGTTTGGCCTTTCAGCAGATTCAAGGGAAACAAGGGAGAGAGCTTTGACAAAATAAATAAATAAATAAATAAATAAAAGTAAATTAATAGCAAACTTTTCATAGAAAACAGTCTGAAAGTGAGATTCAATCTATACATTGGCTAAGTGGCTCCTTTCAAACACCTGCTTTATAGAAAAATAAATAAATAATCTATGGTATGGAAAAGGTAGAAATGCAGGTCAAAAAGAAACTTCAAGTGATCACATAATGCAGAGCTCACCAAAGAGCTAATCAGATAAAACTACATTCTGCCTACTACTACCAGCCTTCAAAATAATTCATAAGCAGTCTCAGCTTGGGATATGCTCAAATGGAGATAGTTTTTCCTAAGCTTTGGACATCCAACTGTTCAACTGCAATGAAATTTGTTTAGTAAGTAACATCGCAAATTCTGTAAGATCATGCTTTACTTCATCTTCATGTCAAGCTCTTTTTACATGCAGTCATATCCAGAAATACAGTAAGAAAACTCATGGGCAAATAAAAGACTTAACCCTCTGTTTTTTCTACTCCTCCCGAAAATGGAATGTGACGAATATTCTCTGAGAGTTTAAGAACTTAGAATAAGGCTGACTTCAGATCTGTTTGTCACCTTGAATACAATCTAACAGTATCTTTAATCTAGATGAGCACTACCTCATCCCTCACAAATATGATAACTGTGTACTGCACAGACATAATGAATATTTTACTTATACTTGACACTGGTTGGAAAATTGGACAAGACTGAACTAATTCTTCTATTTTATACACTTTCTGTTTTTAAAATTGTAGCTAAAAACCTACATGGAAAATTGTCCACAGCTTGTGCCTATAGTTTCAAATTTTATAGTAAATACAGCCCTTCTCCATGTTGACTTTTGAGGGTTTAGAATTTTGTCAAAAAATTAAATTCTGTAAATACAGAAAGCAATGAGAAAGTCAGTATCGACTTCAGTGGCACAAACTCAGTGTACATGAAGAAAAGAAAACATATGCAGAAGGCAGAAGGTAAAATATTAAAACATCTATTTTTGTATATATTGGTTGGGTCTGTCTCTGATAAATGAAGAATAGACTTTAGGAATAGCTGTTGACCTAAGAAACTTCCTTCTACATTATATTGAGATACTGTTCACTAATAATGCAGGAGCCAAATCTGTTGTTCTAATTTGCATGCTTTATGGTGCATTAATAGTCACAAAAAAAGAATAGATAGAAAATAAATTATTTTACTGGAGACAAAATTTTCTTCACTGATCTTCAGAATTGTTATTTTTTAGATACATATGCAAATTTTTCTATTTTACAGTTATACAGTCTAATTACATTTTTTCTCAAGAAGGAATTCTTCACTCACATTTTGCAGCATATCTAAAACAATTTCCAAAAAGTCAGCTTTAGAGCTGGCAGGTATGTTTTTCAATATTTTTTTCCAAAAAGTCAGTATTCGTCCTCAAAAGTCCTCACTTCATTGTTATTACTCTAATAACTAAAAATAACTAGACTATTTTAGGTTTAGAAGGTGCAGCAAAAAACATTCATATAGTTTGAAAAATATGTATTGACATTCACAGTAATGTTGAGAACACTTACATAAATCTTTATCTTTGAAAAGACCTGGAGTTATCATGAAACTGAAAAATACATTTCCATACGCTCCAGTTCTAGGCAGGGGAAATATCCTTCTACTAGATACATTAGCTCCTATAATTGTGTCATTTTCTCCAGAACTTGCCAAAATATAGGGTCCTTCACCAAGCCCTAAGGAAAGAAAAATCAAATTTTAAAAGAAAAAACAATCCTACTTGCATAACATACAAAACTTAAGCCTTAGCTGACATAATATATTGCCTTAAATGTTTCACCTTACCTGGAATCAAATATTTTATGAACTACAGCTCAACGCCTCAAGGTATTATGCTGGAGTAGGTCTGTATCTATCTGTTCAAGGTACTCTGTTCCTCTTTGCTTGCTTTCCAGAACAGAATTGATACAAAGTGAGCATAAAGTGTGGGAAGCGATCCTCATAAAATGGCACATGCAAGAAAGCAATCTGGGTTGCCTTTGTGTAGTATTTTGTCTTTCATGTGTCCTTATTTCCATATTTTGTAATATCAACAGAGTAACTTTAATATTATTCCCCAAATAGACACTGAAACTACTCCAATATCTACAAGGCAATTAAAAAAGAAGTCTGTAATTGAACTTTTGGCAGCACCCTTGCTTAAGCAGTTGTCTAGTTCATCTTCTCCCACAGACCACTTGCTTCTGTCCCCCTACAACCCCATTTATTATGCCATCCTAAGTACTTCATCAGTAAACTAATCCCACTGAAAAATGACCAGCTAAATTTTCCAGTCTGGTTCAGCACATAGTCATCCAAAAGTTCATGCCAATATAGTGGTGACAACAACTTCAGCTGGTACTGCTGCCAAAATGCTGCTGTCCCAACTATGCCCCAGACATCCTATAACATACCCCTAAAGCTATTTCTGCGGGGCTGGAAAGGCTCACGGGGATACACTGAGATATAACAGCATCAGTCTTTGTCACTATACCCCACTGAAAGAACCAAGAGCAGCATACTTCTAAGACCTTGCTTTGTGAGTAATAAACAAGCTTTGTAAATTTTGAGAAAGCTTTTAATCCTTTAATACCAGTGAGAAGACTGAACCCCTATCCTAACCTAGAACATCTGCTCTCTGATATGACTCTTCTAAGAGGGAAGAACTTATCTTAATAATGAGATTTGGCTTTGCTAGAAGTTAAACACCATTTTCTGAAGAGAACTGCAAGAAAATAACCAGTGTTTTTATAATGAAGCTATGCTAGAGTTTGTATACACTGGAAGCTCACAAACTTGCCACAATGTGATCCCTTTTATGGAAGTGGCAAGTCAATTACTGACTCTACCCTAAATCATGGGATGTTCATCCCCGCGTACTAACAGACATTTTGCCTGTGACTTCTGCAAAAGCAGGACTAAGCTGTTACTGAGAAAGTTTCCACAAATGTTCAACAGTTTGACATCATGCAGAACAAAAAAGAATCAGAGGAAGAGCCATCCCACACACCAGAAGGTGTTTTGATGGCATTCAATGGTCAACACATACTGCCCTTGATTTTCTTACTACTTTTTAAGTAAGACAAAATTCCACATTGCAAGGAATATTGTAGAAAGCCAGGTATACCTAGCAATATCTAAATTCTGCTAAAGTAGAGGGTTGGACTGCTCTACAGCAGAAAAGTATTGTCTACTGTATGATGCTCATTACAGGCTGCAAATTGCTAAAAAGGATGTATCGAAAGTCACATTTGTGTGACTGCAATTAGCCAATTTTCCCTTCTTTTTTAATATCTCACTTCCTACAAATGCTTGCACAGTATCCAAATCTATGACAGGATGCCACAGGAAGTTTATTGCATGAATACTACTCTCATTCTAAGACATTAGTTACTTCACAGTGCAGGAGTTAGTTACTTTACGGTGGAGTACTTGTGAGACCAGTGTAGAAAATCATGTATCTTACCAATTTCAAAATGTAATAGGTCTCATTTCTGAATTCTGGAGCACAAGAACAAGCTAACTTCCTTCTAGAGCTTCTCCCTGACTTCAAAAATGTGCTGCATGGCATAGCAATCCACCCACATGCTGAAAATGTTGAGGTTATGAATTGAGACATTAGGAAACACTAGGATTATTTAACATAGTTGGGTCACTGACCTTCACCCATTAAAAGTCGAAACAAACCAGTTATAACTACACATGTCAAGTCAAAGAATCATCCCATCAGTTGGTTCAACCAAATTCTTGATTGAATTAGTGCAAACTCTTTTATATGACAATATAAGAAGGAAAATCAAAAGAAAACAAGCCAATTTAGAATAAAACCCAATAGCATAACTTAATAAGTGTGACAAATATTCATAAAATATGAGGGTTTTCTTTTTCTTTTCTTTCTTTTTTTTTTTTTTTTCCCCTAAAAATCCTATCAGATTAATGATGATGATGATGATTAATCTTAACTCAGTATCATCAGAGATGCATTATGTCTACACCATTCCTTTCTGGATTAAAAGACTTAAATTTCACAACACCAAAGGCAATTAGTTCAGTGGGGTGAAAATTCAAATGGTAATAACCATATATAACATTGTTAGATGCACAACAATGTGTCAATATCTGAATCCCTTAATAATGTGAGATTATCTGTTTTAATTCACACCAGACAATTCCCAAATAATATATCAGATATTGCACAGAAAACAAACAAACAAACAAAACAAATGCAGTATTTTTAGATACCTATAGCAGAACTGAATGGAAGAAACCCCAAAAAATAAGAGGAATGGTGGGTTTCCTTAATCATCAACCAAATCTTTCATGTTTTAACATCCCACGTGCAATATCCAGTTTCCATATATTTTATTTTGTTCTCACAGATATTGTAGCACAACACCAGTAAACAGACAGTGTCAAAAAGTAATTTTGTGCAGATTCATCCTGTGAAACTCAAGAATACAAGGCATGTGTTCAAGTACTTGTCTCCAGTGACACTTTACTGTATCTGCCTAAGCAGAGGAAAACACCTTTGTTACAAATCAATGGTTATGTTGCAAAATATAGTCAGTATAGTGACATAATGATATTAAATGAGCAAGGAATATGTGGCAAATTACATATTTGTCACCTATCCTATCTAATGGATCTGAAGGTCCAGAGAGCTCAAGTGATTGTGGCTATGTAACCCTACCCTAGGGAACAGGGAGCACAGAAATGAGATAACCTCCAACACTGCTGCAGCTTATAGAGACTCTTCCCAGCACAAGCTATAACTGGTTTTGTTTTCTGTGTGCAGTGTATTATATTTCATCTGAGATTCCAGATGTGTGTTTTTACTTACAAGTAAGTTGTTTCCATGCTCCCACTGTCTCTGGACATACAGCAGAAAGACTCATGGAGACTTGCTTTGCTAACTTGCTGAGCTCACTGAACTCATATACTCAAATCAAGAATCCAAACAAATAAATAAATAAACCAATAGATAAATCATAACAACTAAAGAGATACAGAGATATAAACTAAATCATAACAGCTAAAGAGAGATATTACCAAATTAAATGTTTTTTTCAGGTTTATTCTGAGTGAACCAATATAAGACAAGTGTGTCTTGTTTTTGTTTTTGTTTTTGTTTTTGTTTGTTTGTTTGTTTGTTTGTTTTAAAGAGAAACAAAATAATAGGTGGGGAAAAAAGTATTTCAAAATAGCATAGTACAGAAAGAAAGATGATAGTATGTCAAAAACACCTTCCATATTCTAGAGCGGTCAGTGTGAGAAATCACTGGTTTTTAATCAATGGCCTGCAACTGAGTGCTTTATAAAAACAGATTTGATGTTGTAATTAAGGAATACAGATTTGTTTCTAGCATATAGCTAGGTGTTATACTAGCAAACATGAAGCCTAAGTGTTTTCAACAAGGTATATAAAAACCAGGATGAATCAAAGAGAGTAATATTAAGTACTACATACCTTGATTGTAATATTCACAGTCAAAAGCTAAAACAAAAAGAAAATGAATTATTACTATAAAGTAACAATAGAGTTCATGCTTACCTTCACCCTAAAAATGTAAAATTCACTTTTATCAGAGGAAGTTTCATTTTCTGTAATGTATTTCAACTAGTGACTTTATTTCTTCTGGCTTTTATTCAGTGACATAGAGCTATATTTGAATAGATGTGCCAGGATAGCAGACCAGAAGCACTAATTATTCTATAGCTAAGAACTCTTCCCACTGCCAGTGAAAAGTAGAACAGATTGAATCTCTTTGCTACCCCACACAGAATCCTGGGCATCCCCCACAATGGTGTGCCTGTGTCTTTCCAACAGCCTCTCAGAAAACCAGTCCTCTTAAGGAAGACGGTATATTCAGGTGTTTAGCAGTTAACACACAGGCTGCTTGAAAAAAAAATAAAAAATGTAAAGTGTATCTATTATCCACCTGCTTCTGTCAGATTTTTATTTTTGGGAAGAGAAAAACCAAAGATGTCCTTTTCTCTGAGTGGGTTCTGGTGTGAGGCCAGCCCAGGTACATACCACAGAGAGAGGGAGATCGCCAGTGTATCACTGCTCCCTGCTGGCAGCACTTGTGGGCATAAGCTGCAATACTGGTACACAAACATTCACAGTCCCCGCCAAGATTGCAGTTACATGTATCTGTATGACAGTTTTTGACAAAGGAAGTCACATCAATCTGGAAAATAAAAGGGGGAGGTGGGAAGAGAGAGCAGGTGACTTTATTGCATGAGCTGTACAAATTCCTGTTGCACAATTTTCAGCAGGAGTACTACTTCTGGAAGGAGTCTCTGAAGTAATTTACCACAAATATAAGGCATTTTCTAAGGTTTGGATACAATTCTTTATAAAAAGTGCACTGTGAATGACCATTTTGTACCTACCTTACAGATCAAAAGAAAAATTTAACTGGTGACTATTAACAAGTATGACTGTCTACACTTTCTGTTTGTTCATTCTGAAGAGCATGTTGAATGTGACAGTTCTGTGTTTTCATAAAGCAAATGCTGCCACCTATAGCCATCCTGTTAGTTTTGCATGAAGAATAGCAAAACCAGAGCTGCAACTGATGATTGAGTAATTAAAGTACTAGTGTTTAGAGGGGCTTTTGGTCAGGAAAAGAAAGCTTGAGCACTTGGTGAAATTTTGCAGAAAAAAAAATATATTCTGCATTTATCAAGTTTTAATATAATTTGTCCAAAAATCTTCATTAGCTCAGGCACTCACTTTGCTGCTCTAAAATCTTACTGTAGTCCCAAATTTAATAGCATGATACTGATACAGTATTTCTTGGATTTAAATCACCTTTTTTGTAATATCGAGTTGATCTCAAAAACAAACAAACAAACAAAAAAACAACAACAACAACAAAAAAAAACATTCTTACTCAACACATAGGAACTTTAAAACAATGCATTTCTTCAGTTTAGAATCATTTATAGACTCTAATCTAGCTCAGTTGTAGAGCACTCCAATGGCACTCATCAGATTTCAGATTACCCAAATACCGCCACAGCAACAAGGCAGTACTTATGTAACATTGAGACAACTTCTCAGCTGGCAGCTGCTAGACACTGGCAGAGATAAGATGATCATTTTTCTGCCTTTAGTGCTTGGAGAGAGATGCCATTTTGCTTTCAATCTTTTTCTTGTTTTGAAAACCAGTGGGTCAGGGACATGAGCATTAGCTCCGTTGAAAATGGATGTAGTAACTTAGCAGGAATCACAAATTAGCAGAGTGGCTCCAGAGTTCAGCCTGTCTCCCATTCGCAGAACAGCATCTCTCCACTTTTGTGACAAGCTGGGAGGCTAGGGTCAAAGCTCCTGCTGAGTTCAGGAGTTATGAGGAAGACCTTTCTTTCTGCAAGTGTCAGGGCTCCCCTCAGGGAGCTCAGTGCTCAGCCAGGCAATTGCAATCCATCAGTCACTGCCAGCCAGAGATGCGAGATTTTGTCTCCCTTAAAATGGGGTTTTCCAGCCTACGCTGAACACACAGGCTGCCTGTCCTAGAGAAGGATCTTGCCCCCATGCACAGTAGTATCCTCCACTGCCCGCACAACAGGAGCACTGCAAGAGCACAGCTCCATGCACCTCCTGAGACTCACAACTACACCTTCTGTTCCTCCCAGGCCTCCAGTGTCTGTCTCGGCTTGTATGTTTTTTTTCCTTGGAACCACTTTCCCTGCCTGTGCTGCCAGTAGTTAGGCAGGTATCTTTGATAGGAAGTCACAGTACCTTTCAAAAGAGCAGTATTTTTCACATGCTAATGAAGAGGTTGTAAAAACACCCGAAAGATGTTTACTTTAAAAGCTGTCTCATACAAGATGGATGTGCATATGAAAATACCTGACAACTGATTAAATGTCATGTTTTGCACCTGACATGAATTTCTTAATATCAGTATGCTAAATTCTTGGAATAATAATTGAAAATGTTAATCACAACATGGGTAAGATACGGGAAACGAATGTTCAAGAGAAAATGTCTTTCTTTAAGAGTTATTATAATACAGGTCCTCAAAAACTCTCAAAAGTTCCATTTTTATTTATTGCTTTCCACTTTGAAAATACACTCATCACTGTGTTCTCAGGCACATGCTCAAAAAATTCTTCACATAGTAACCAAAGTCAACATTAATAAATTTCCTGGGTTAAGCTTCTGCAACCTCCTCTTCAGGCAAATTCCTCACCATGTTGATATCAAACTTCAGTCCTGAAAGTCAGGAGGTTCAGCTGAGACATCTAACAATCTCATTTAATATTAATAGTCATAAAGAAAAACAGAGACTGAAACAAAATGTCATAGTGAGTCTTGCCTGCACAGGTGTTAAGAAGCACCTCCAATTACTGAATACCTTTGGGAGGCTAAAATCAGAAAGAGGTATAAATGTAATGAGCACATCATGCGTTGATAAAGGGTGAATTATGATGGAATAAAAGATTCCCACACAAACTGTTGTCATCCCCATCTCATTTAGACTGATTCTTGCAACTCAAGTTCCAAGCTCAGCCAGGTATTGGGGAAACAAGGACACCATACCATGGAGTTTTGATAAAAAGCAGATGATAACCTGTCAGCCAATTAAAAATACTGATAGCTCTGAAGTTAAAATCTTGCTCTCTCATATTTCTTACTATATTGAGCAGAACAGTTAACAAAATAAAACCATTTTAGATAAGCTGGAGGCACATTAAACAAATGTTTATTTTAGAAGCCTACAATATACACAAAAGCCTTTAAAGTGCAGTTACCTATATAAATAAAATATATAAATAAAGCCTAAAGAGAACAGAACTCTGATTGTCCTGTCTACTAACTCATGACTCCCAGTTACCACCATAATGTTTAGGCTCCAGTTTTGATAGGAACAAGGAGCTCTGCTCAAACATAGCCCACCCACATAGTAGCAGAGCTCTACTAAGTATCCTCCATGGCATTCAGGCAGAGGGGAATGGCAAAAAGAAATTAATTACTGGAATTTTAATGTTTTCCTATTTGAGAGCAAATCTGGGTTATTTAATGAACTTACCACATTGCGACAAGGTGCGAAAACATCACTGTATAAAATTGAGCATTCCTTTTTCGCATAAGGGAACTTGCTCTGATGTACCTCACATGGTCTTAGTGTTTCATTTGGGCTCTTGCACTTAAAAGCAAACAAAACCATTACAAACATTTTACACAAAGATGTGTTTACCATGGACTCAGGTACACTATATGCATCCTACATGTACATTTCAATACTTGCATACTCAGAAAACTCATATAATGTTTACATGCTATTTTCTCCATCTTCTTCTTCCCCTGATTTGTTGTTATAATTGAAAACATTTGAACAAAACAGAATCTTTGTGTTTTGTTCTGAAGTACTAAAATGTTCCTGCTGTCTGCTCAGTGTATGAAGACAAAATGTTTTCTTTGTGACACACTATAATCATTACCAGAGCAACCAACTGTAACATCACAAACAAATACATGGTCCAAATCCATCTCTGGTGGTTTTGCACTGACTTTAAATGGAGGCACACTACAGATGGCTTTAGCCCTGTAAGTTCAAATAAAGAAGCAGCGGTAGGAAGAGAGCAACACATAAAAAAATAGAGTCAAAGATTATCATGATAACTCAAAAGGGCTGAGATACAGCTCCCTCTCTTTAAGTCTCTCTTCAAGAAGAAAAACAAAATGAACAGAAAAATATAACCAAAATGACACTCAGCTCAGAAAACACAAGTTCATCCAAAAGCATACTCCCTTGGTGCAGCAGAGAAGCCCAGGAGACGGCAGTGATGGATCTATAGGCAGAGTTGGGGTGTTGTGGCACAGCCTCAGCTGCAGAGCAGTCGCCCAGCACACTGCCCTCCTGTGCGGGTGCTCCGATAGTGCTGTGTGGGGATGTGATGCCACTCCCCAGAGGGAGAAACCCTGGAAGCATCCCACACGCCTCACCGTGCCAATGCCGGCATGTTTGCCAGTAGCAGAGTTGGGTTGTAGGCCTCCAGTTACCAAATACGCCTTTCCAGTGTTTAGATTACACAGGAAGGATGACCAGGATACCTCTCTGCAAAGGCCAGAGCTCCTTTCTGAAAAATGTCCTAATGATGCCTACTGAGAAGGCAGATGCAGTGCCAAGGCTGCCTGAGCACAGGCTGCCTACTAGGCCAGTAATGAATTCAGGTCCTCCGTGCTTTGGCAGCCACAGAGACTGGAAGATTATATGAGATTTTACAAAAATATATGGCCTCAAAAAGGCAAGTGCAAGTTTGGGTTGGTTAAGCAAAGGTCATAAAACTCCAGAAGTTCATGTTAGGTTCAAATTGTGCAAACACTGTGCCGTTTATTAAAGCAACCACTGAACCCACTGAACAGATAATTTGAAAAAAAAAAAAAATATATATATATATATACGGGATTGGAACCAAAAACATATCTTTATTTTTTTTATGGAATAAAACCCAAAGCCTCCCAGTTACACTTGCTTCTTCAAGTATTTTTTTCAAAGGGAAGAGAGCAAATGGAGAGCTAGTCTCTGGGACCCCTCCTCGTACCCTGCTAACCCTGGCTCTGAGTCATCAACACTCAGTGCTCAGCCAAGATGAACACTTTCAGTGTTCACTGTGTAGGAGCCAACACATTTCCCTTGCTTGGTCACAGGATTAAAAGATTTTATGTGGTGTAATATAGATCCAAAAGGAGAGATTGAGGGAGAAAAACCTCAAAGGCTTTCTTCCAAAGCAGAAGAGAGATCATATTCTTTCATGAGGTGAGAGATTCTGGTTCAATTTCCTTCTCTGAGTCAGGGAGAGAACAGATTAAAAACTGGGTCTTGCAGGGATCCTAAGGGAGTGTTTAACAAATATTGATTTATCAGGAGGTTCACAATGCTATAAAACCTTTCTCCTCAGCACAAATGAATAAAATACCTATTCTTCTGTGTTATAAAACACAGTTGCACAGTTGCTCTCTCCAGCTTCTTCCCTCCTCCTCTGAAAGCTAATGGGTTGTGCCTGATGCTGTTCTTGCCTTTTCTCTCCCACCACTTCACCACTGCTGCTTCATCAGTTTGCTTTCTGATTACAAACTACAATCAAAAAAGATCACTGACTGAACGTGAATGTACATTTTATAGCTTCCTTGGCATAGCTCCTCCTTTGAATTTCTGTCTTGTGCTGTGGAGAAAGCCCCTTCTGCATTCACTTGTATGCAGGCAGCCTTGGAGGGCTGATGACACCTCCTTCTCCAGTTTATTCTTTCAAATCCTATTTGCTTCAGTATTCAACATCCAAAAAATTACAATTGCTTTTAAAATTGGTATGAATCTAAATATCAAAAGCATTTTATCTAAATTTGTAGAAAACTGAAATCCAGACAGCATCATTAGTTATTCAATGATAATTAGTTATCATTGATACAGGGATCAGTGTATCCTTACCTAAAAAGATTGGATTGTTTCATTTAAATTCAGTTTATGTTTCTTTCATTTAAATTCAGTATACGTTTCTTATAATATAAGACATCATTAACACATCTCATACCTACAGACATAAAAATTCAAATATCCTCGTGCATTCTGACCAGCAGTTTAGAAAATCCCTGTACTTCATGTACTAATAATCTATTCATTTATAAATTAAAATTAATGACTTTTTTTTTTTCTAAATTTTAACTAGACATGGAACTTACCTGTCCTAATACCCAGCTGTCTCCAAATACCTGTGCATTTCTCACCTCCATGTTGTTGGATGTAGTCAGATCATTTGAAGTGTATTTGTCAAAATTTCCACACAAACCTGCCAGTTTACCCTAAACAAGAAGGATTTATTTTTTACATATACTGATAGTCAATAATCAGTATGGACTAGATTTGTAAAGTAAAATATTCTTAAACTGTAAAAGGTGAATGCAACTCTGACTTAGACTTGGAAAATATCTGATATTATGTGATGCTTACAGTAACCAATTGCAAATAACTTTCAATAGAAATTTCTTCATGTTTCCCAGAACTTGCTCTAACTACGAAGTAAGAACTTAGTAATATTTTCTTCTGAAAGCTTAGTACTACATACAATCCAGAAGTCAAAAGTTCAGGTGAATTACCTTGTAATTTTGCAGCCTGTCTAGTTGTTATGATTAAAACTCACTGCCTCTAATTTTAGATCACATAGCAAGAACATTCATAACAGCAGTTATGAAAGAGGCAGCTGCAACATTCTTGTGTTTAGGGAAGTGCTGCTGATGAACATACATATATGCATACATGCACATATAGATACATACAGGAAAAGATACTTCTGCATGATAATACAATGTAGAGCTGGGTTTCTGTGGTGCTCCAGCTCACTCTAATCATTTTTTTCATAATGAATGCTGCAGACCTTATCTTACTAAACTGGAGCCTAAGGAAAAAACAGCTGCTAGAAACAGAAGGAACTTGAAGTATTGCTGCATCTGCATGCAACTTTTAGATCTTAGCCTCTTGTTAGCTTACTGTAAAATAGGAAAAGAATTTTTCATCATCATTATTATGTGTATTGATGGTTGATAAATCTGCAAGCAAGAATCTTATGGCTATTGAGAAAAAAGCCTACAATAATGTTGCTTTAAAATAAGATTAGATGGTTATTATAACTTTGACCTACACTTCAAAATACCTGATGCTGTTTTCTAGCATGGTGCACTTTCTCTTCTTTTACTGTAAACTGTTCTCTCTCAGTACATGCACTCATAGCTAAAATGGAGCAGGGATGTAATTATTGAAAGTGCAGATTAAGTTACTCCATTAGAATTCATGGATTGAGCTGCAGATGCACCAAGGCATACAGATGACGATGTAGAAAAGGACTAGAGAAGAACAACTGGAAAGAGCCTCATTCTTCCCTGCATCATTACCTAACTGTGTCACAGGATGCTTATGAGGTTTAAGTGCAAGTTCTTGTCTAGATCCTTTCCCATCTCTCTTTTTTTTTTTTAATTGATACCCTTGATACCCAAGACGAGACACCATCTGTTCACTATATCTCAGGGTGCAGTTCCACCATCAACCTAACACAATCTGTGGTAAAAAACTGCTTTCTTCCATGTTGCTAGCTAAGCATTTCCTGCGTTTCTTTTCCACTATTTTCAGCAATTACAAAAACATACACTTAACTAGGTAACTCAAAACAAATCCTCTTTTCCCACCCCAAATTAACTTTGAGTCAGAGCTGAATCACTTGCATTGCAAGGCTGCAATGTGTGGAGCATCAGAGTAAACATGCGTATAGGAACAACCCCTTCTCTTCAGGACTTCAGTCATTAAATTGTATCCTCAGGCACTTCTCACCTGTGAAATGCTAGCAGTTGAACACCTATATCACTAGGAAAGTTAGTCATGAAGAAAAGGCAATCACAGTAATACAAGAAGATATCACACTAGTAACATTGAGAACTACACAAAATCTCAGTTGATTTTTTTGATTTTTTTTTTTGGCTCACCTTCCATCGAGGTCCAACTTTAATATGCATCATGGTCTTCTTATCCCACAGAATTGTAACGTCCTGTTCTGGAAAGTGTATCACAGTATAATATCCAGCCTTCCACAGCTGATAGTTAGATTTGTTTTCCTGTCCCCTTAAGACATTCTGACAGAAATGAATATTTTTTAATATCTAATAAAGTAACTCTACCAAGGTATGCAGCCAATTAAGAATGTAAAGTGTATAGTGAATAATATTGTACCTGTAGCATATAACAGAATCAATACTATTACTATAAAGGTTGTTTAATACTTTGATACATGTATTCTGCCTTCTTCGATATTATGCCTTTTGGATCATTCAAGTTTGTTTTTATTAGATACTTTGGTTTCTCTTCAAAAAAACAAAACAAAACAAAACAAAAAAAAACAGAGAGAAACAAACAAATGCCAGTATGGTTTGACTCCTTGAGGCTTTTGAGCAGTCTTCTTTGTGAGACAAATAAAACTCAGAGAAAAAAAATGATAAAGTAAGATTTTTCCTGGGAGCTGCTGTGTATTTGAGGCCTAGGCATTTGTGCTGCATTAACCCAGACTGAGATACTTTCCAAAAATATGCTCCTTTAGAGTTGTAACTTCTATCTTAAAAAGCAACCCAAAAAGGAAAGAAAATAACTAACCTGCTTCTCAGAAGGTTCGCTGAAATAAATCTCAATGTCTCCAACAGTGATGAAAATATTCTTAGAGCAAACAATATCGTTATCAAAGCACTTTTTGTTCTGAGCAATTATAGATATGTTTGAGTTATCTGTGCTCTGCAACATGAAGAAGAAATCATTTTACTTATAGATACAGTTGCATTTAATTCCTGCAGATTTATTCCAGCCTCATAATCACAAAAACAAAAACAAACAAACAAACAAAAAAGTTGAATATGTTAGTGTTTTCACATCTTTGAAATTAAATTCAAGAAAAAAACACCAATCAAGGAACTTCATTTTTAAATTCAAAGCTGAACCTTCAAGAAACTTGGACTTTGGATTTAAGCACAAAGAACCATTTTGTTCAGCTATGAGTCCTCTTTCTGAGGACCTCAGGAACTCATAGGATCAAACTATCCCTAAACTAAGAATCTAGTTTAGTCTTGCAAAATGTGCTCATACGTGGAATCCAATACTTACTGCACAGTCTGGTTGTCATAATTGAGACATGCTATAAAAAGAGCTGTATTTTTAAACCAAGGTACTTGAGATCAAGCTGTTCATATTTTTAAAGCCAAGAAACCTACCATCAGTCAGTAGTAGATAAAACAATTTTCATACAACCATCTATAAAAATGTACGAAGCTGTGAGTCATACTCAACATTACTAGAGTGGGGAATCATTTCTGATGACATTTTTTTAATTATTATTATTTTTTAACATTTAGAGCTATTGTCCAGAGACCAGTGATATTATCAGTGTTGATAAAACTGCCACAAATAAAAATCAAGTTATTATTACTGTTACTATTTTTTTTTCTTTTATTTCAATTCTGTACCAACCCTTGCAGGACAACAAGAAACAGTAGCTGTAGGACAGACTCAAGAGGGTTATCCATAAAAAACATATAACCATTAACCATAAAAGCCAGTAACAGTGCTTCTGAAATCAGCTCAATTTATGATCACATTGAGTCCTATAGTCGTTACAGACCTGTGACAGACATGAAATAAAAATCTTGGAGGTGGCAAGTTCTATATAAGGGCACTTAGTCATTCAGTCACATATGAGACACTTGGGTAGTGCTGCAAACAAAAAGATGTTTAAACTTCTCTTCTCACTCCCACCCTCCTTTAACCTCTCTCTGAGAACACAACTAGCTAGAACTAATTGCAGATGCTAATGAGCATAGTGGGCAAGATGGGAATGGTGGCTCTCAGCAGCTTGCCAGTGCTGGGAACTCTTGGCTCCCAGTGATGTTCTTGGAGAGCTCCACTCAGCCACAAGGGGAGGGACCCCTGCCCCTGCCCTGGTCTGTACCCTCAGCACCTCTCCCCAGAGCTTTGCTCCCTCCCTTCAGCAGTGTACCCCAAAATGTGCAGGGAGCATACCCCTAACTACTCCCTGCCTGTCTTACCCATATTCATTCTGCATTCATCAAAGTTCAAAAATAAAAACCATATCAGCAATTTTTCCTTACCAGTGAGAAACTGCATAGAGAAAATATTCCTGCTGCAGGAAGCAGCTTTTTTTCTTTTTTTCCTTTAATAAAAATCAAGGTGTTTTAAAGAACACTTTCAATCCAAAACCACAAAAAAAAAAAAAAAAAAATCCTAGATGATGGTACGTGTAGAGGTATTTTTGTTGCCACACAGAGGAGGTGCTCTACAGCTTTGCAGCCCTGAGTCTAGCATGATCCACAAACCAGAGAATGATGCTGCTTGGCACAGAGAAGACTACAAGACTACAAGTGTGAGTGGATGCGATGAATATGAGATCCAGTAGATGCCAGCAAGCTTTTTTACCCTAACACCAGGGTGTAAGAAACAAGTGGGTGGTGTGTGCCAGCAATCAGCTGGGAACACAGTGGTTAAGGTGGGCTAAGCAGGGTCTAGAAGCCAGTGGTGAGGGGCCGCAGGAAAGCAGCTCTGCTCCTCACCATTTAGCAGGGGAACACAGTTCAAAAGTACTGGAAGCTTTGGGGTAGAGCGAGGTTCATCTGTCCTGTCCTGCAGTAAAGTTGTTTTAGGTTGCACTCGGAATAAAATTGGTCGCTACCTTTTTGGGAAATGCACTATGTTTTAATTAAGCCAGGCTTACTGCTGGAGCCCATCCAGTAATTATTCCCCTCCGAGTCAGATAACAGCCCAGAGCATTTTGGGATTTATTGGAGGTGATGTGGTAAATTAAAAAGGAGACAAACTCATTAGTTTGGTAGATAGGATGCAAGTCGATACCTTCTATGCTGGCCAAGGGAAAAGTGAGCAAGGAAGCTACCCCCCTGCCATGAGTCAGTTCAGAAAGGGGCTTAGCTTGCAGTCTGCAGATCTAATTGATGCCTGGAACATTACGGGCTGTTTTCATTGCAAAGTTCATTCCTCTTCAGTTAGCTTAGCCTCAGCAAAAGGGGGTACTCTGAGTTAATGGGGAAGCAATGTCTTCACTGTAAGGAAAGAGATGGAGGGTTTTATTTTAAATAAGGATTGTTAATTCAGGCTAATTATCCCACAGTAAAAATACACCTTTTTTGGCAATGAAGACAAGTTCTTGGAGCAGCATTGGGTAACTGTACTAGCTATGCTAATCAAAACTGCTGCCTGTGCCTTCTGACAGTCCAGGCCAATCCCTTCAGCAGAACAGCATCAACATACTCGAGACAGAAGTTTTTGTGTATGGTTGGGATTTGAGCCAAGGGCAAAAGTTGAGTTATATTTCAAGTTAACTCTGCAGCAGAGAGAAGCCTGGAGACAGGGAGTGTTTTGCTGACCAAAGCCAGAACAGGGAGTCCTGAAGACATGTGAAGTACTTCCTTACTTGTAGGACTTCATGTTGGTGTTAAATTACTGGAAATGGTGCAGGATGGAAATGCAGTTCAATAGAACTATGCGTAAACAGACATTTAAGAAAAAAAAAAAAAAAGGTTTACATTAAATACTGAATCTTCTGTACTTTGTCTCTTTCCAATTAAATCTTAGACCTAAAACAAATTTAAGAACAGATATCTCTTATGGATCAAAACTTTCAAGACAAGATTTCCTTTACTTACGCACCTTTGCCATTCTCTGCATACAACTCAGTAAAAATGGTTCTTTTCCCACCCATGCAATACCATCTAAATTCAAAGTTGATTACACCATGGCTACAATGGGCTTCAAATTAGTCTGTAGCTGCTGTATGAGCAGCCTCTGCTATCAGCAAGGAAGAAAAGTACGGTTGAAATATAGTGCTTAACTATTGCCAATGCAGAAGAAAGAACAAGGACTATTTAGATAAAGTGAGGATTGTCTTTTACTATTTAAGACAGTGAGGTCTTGGGGAAACCACTGGAGCTCTTAGGGACCGTGACATAAGTGATAATGATCGATTTCTATCTCTCTAATCTGTGCTGGATCCACACACAGGTATGAAAACCAGCTTTTGTCAATGCTGTTGGAAGAAATGTCTGAGTAGGCACTTGGAGTCTAATAAATAACAAGGTGTTATTTCCTCCTTTCTTTCTCTCTCTCTCTCTTTCTTTCTTTCTCTCTCTTTCTCTCTCTCTCCTTCTCTCTCTTTCTCTTTCTCTCTCTCTTTCTCTCCTTCTCTTTCTCTCTCTCTTCTTTCTTTTTTTCTCTCTTTCTCTCTCCTTCTCTCCTCTTTTTTTTTTCTTTTTTTTTTTTTTTTTTTTCCACAGCCTTTCCAAGGCAGAGTTGCTCTTTACCTTTTTAGGTAAAATGCACCCGACAGGGGATGTACTACAGTTCATCATGTGAAACCTACTTACGCTGACAGAAACTAGAAATAAAATGGTTTTCCCACTGCAAGAGTATCTTCCCACGTAAATTACCATATCCAGCCTGTTCCAACTTAATATCAGTTTCTTTGTGATAACATGGAGTTGCCAAGCAACAAGGAAGACAGAGTCACAGATCTGGGCAGTCAGTCAAGCGCTCATTGTCAGTCCTGCTTCTCAGAACATTCTTTTTCTAGACTTCACTGCACTTTTTTCCATATTTCTTCCTATCCAAAAAAACATGGTCCTTTCCATTTTTTTAGTAGTGCTTGGGAATGCTAGGGCTTATTTTTGTTAGAAACTTTCTATTTCAATATCCCAGCAGAAATTTCTATCAACCAACAACAGCACTGTGCAGCATACTTACATAACGAAACTGAAGCCTGGGATGAGATGATTTACGGGGGCTGTATTTATTTCTTTCAAAGGTTCATTAAAATCTCTCTAATTTGTCAGTATGAAGACTTCTTTTCTGTTATTGATATGCTGCCTTCCTTTGTTGTTGTTGTTGTTGTTGTTTGTTTGTTTCCTACAATATGCTAACTTGCAAACTAAGTTGCCCACAAAAGCATCTAGGGACATACTATAAACTAGACAGAGATAGATCGGCCCCATTTTCCTTTTATTTTCATGGCTCATTGGAGATTTTTCATATATAGCTGCAAACACAAATACATGCCAAAAGCTCCAAACAATGAAAAAAAATACACATTATTCTTAAAAGTATATATCTATCTATATATATATATTTCTCCTTCCTACATATTTTAAGAGAAATGCTATTAGTTCTGTTCAGACAAGCTTTCAGTAAACTCAGAATTAGTCTGATGGTCGGTTAGAGTGTTCTGAATTCCTTCTGAATGAATTTAACATTCAAAAACATTGCTTCAGCAAGCTTGATGCAAGGGGGAGTAAAGCATCTTATCCTATGTTTAGTGAGCACTTCAGCATAAATATTAAAGTGGTTTTGGAGACCAGCCATATGATTTGGCACCTGACGTGATCTTTCTGTTAGTTTATTGTACCATTTTCCAGGGTGGTTCATATCCAGATAATCTTTAAAAATGCATTAGTTATTCAAAATTCATTCACAGATGACACCAAGAAGCATCTCTGATTGAAAGGCTTCTTTTTGTTTTGCTTTTATGATAATTTCTCCTATACCATTCCAAAATGATACACATACATTCTGTATAACTATATAATACCTGCTTATCCTGAACAAATTTGTACCATCAGTTTTCCCTAAAGGTATTCAAATATTGGAGCAATATTATTCAAAGTCAGCAGATGGCACTGATACACACTGTCTCAGTTTAGGAGAAAACCTGCATGAGATTT